TTTTTTTTTTTTTTTTTTGCTGTGCTAATGGCTCAGGTCATCTTAACCATTAATTAAAAACAAAGCAAGCCATTTCCCCTTAAAATGAGCCACATTGCTATCAAGCCCGATGCGTCTCCAGTGTTTGCTGCAGGTAAACTATCCAATCTTAGCAGCCACTCACGGCTCCAAACTTTCCAGATCTTTCTGAAGATCAGAAAGAAATCAACTATTTAAACTCACCATCAGCTCCCCATAGGAGGAAAGGAGACCTGCCCCATAGGCTCTGATGGATCCATTTTGTTTACAGAGACCAAATTCCACTGTAAACCAATACAGCTGAGAAAAATACAAAAGAAGAAATGACCAAGTTATGAAAGAAGTAACTGTCCCTCCCTTCCCATTCCCAGTGTTCCCAGTCAGACAGCCCACCCTTTGTGGGTACAAAGAATGTATACTTGGTAATATTATCCATATTCTGCCTTTCTTTAGAAAAAAAGCCACTCAAGGCAGTTGTTTTCACTCATTCCTGTGTCTTGTGATTTCCGTGATTCTGAGAAGCAGCCTCCTGTCAACAGTCTTGTGTTTCTTCTACAGTGCATCAACCTGACACAATGTCTGAGCACGGAGGGGAAAACAAAACGGAGCCTGAAGCTGAGCAGCAGCCACCAAAGTGCAGCTTTCTGGAGTGGGGTGGGGAGGTACAGTAGCCACAATGTCCCCCTCCCCAAAAAAGCATTAAAATATGGTTTAATTAGAGGATCAGTTATTTCTGCAAAGATGCCATTTGATCCAAGAACTTTGGAATCAAGAGGAAATGTCTAGATATATTGAATTAAGACCTTTAAGAAGTCAACTTCTGGCATCAGTATATGCCTCACCTTGCTGAATTCCACCCCCGCCCCCCGTCCCATCACTGCCACCTTGGCTACCAGCCCTCCGATAATATCAGAGCAGCTGAACAAAACCTAAACAATGTTCCTGTTTCCTGGGGACCAGTTTGGGGGACCAACAACCACAAACGATACATGGAGACTTTGGTATTGGGCATGCACAGTGGACACGGAACATATACTCACTGTTGACAGTTTTTCTATATCTTCATCTGATGCTCCAAGAGAAGCCAGTCCAATATCCTGAATCAAGTATATTTGTTTCTATTATAGCAATACAATGTTTAGCATACTAATAAATATACTAAACTATCCCCCCATTTTTAGTAGTTATGCACCATCAAGTCATCTCCCATTTGTGGTGACCCAAGGCACAAATGCGCTGGAGAGGCTCCCTTCCTAACAGCAGGCAGTAGACCTGTCCTCCTCTACAGCAGCCTGCCCCAACCTGATGCCCTCCATCTATGGACTGGCCATTCGCCATGTTGACTGGGGCTGATGGGAGGTCAAGTCCAAAATATCTGGCGGGCGTTAAGTTCTGGAAGGCTGGTCTGTAAGAACATATGGTTTCTGCATGGTTTTATTACATTTGAGGTGAAATCCTTAGTTTAAGGACAAACATCTGCTTAGTTGAGTGTGCTTGCAGTTTCTCTCTAGTTTATAATAACAAGAATATTAGAGCCAATATTTTATATTTATGTTATTGTCTAGCCAAGAAAAGGGGATGCATGGTAGCATAATACATGCGTTCTAATATGAAATACTTTTCCCCTGCTCACACCCCTGTGAACAACATCTGGAATGTTGATGCACAACTGGGGAGCAAATAGTTCACCCATCAATCGATTTCACTCAGCCTGGCATAGAATGGCACTTGCCCTGTTGTTCACCTATCATACTAGCAGGAGGCCCAGACAGCATCTGAGAAGGGGATGTGGGAAGGTGAGAGAAAGCATCTGTGCATTCATCAGCTGCCATGGCCATGACATGCTGGTGTGCTTGACGCAGGCCACTAGCGGGACTTGGAGAAGTTGTGCCATGGGAATTAGCTGCTCCACAGAGATTGGGCCCCTCAGTTCTGTTCCTATGCAGCAGGAATGTATGAAGATGGGAGCAGTGAGGAACACATTCCTGAGAGCCCCTAGGAATTAATTACAAGTTTAGCGCATGCACTGTACCTCCAGAAACGAACATGATGATGATCACCAGTAATTATTATCATTTATATACTTAATAAGAATGGTAAACATATACTTAACATGTATATGTCTTTTTCAAATACTTCATGTGCAATATCTAGCCACAATCCCTGGACAAAAGGGCCGTGATGATTTATTGTGCTAACAGCTTTCACCAATCAGCAAAGCACTTCCCAGGTTCTGCTGCTTGTGGACCAACTGGTGAAGAAGCAAAAGAATATGCCACAAATGGCTTCCTATTTCAGAAGTCTGCCATCTCAGCACGGAAGAAGAAATTAAGGTTTTCTTTCCAGGCATCCGGTTATGCCAGGATTACAAAATGAAGCTGATTTTTATGTTGCAAAAACTCCACCACAATTTATAGGAGAGAAAGTTAAATATTAGCTTTTATCTCTAGAATGTTCATTTTACTTAAAGTACTTTCTTGATTTTCACCTGAAAAGACTGGCTTATATATTATTCAATAAAAAGAGCGCAATAGAAAAGGAAAAGGGGAGGGGAGGGGAGCAGAAAAAAGCAAACCTGGCTGAGATTAAAACAGGTTAGGGACAGGAGGGACCTGATGGAGCTGGCCTTTCAGCAGAGCTGACAAGATGGCCTTGCTTTGCGTCTTTTTCTCTCCCAGCCTGAAGGGACAGCTGATGCCTAGTGACAATGAGGAGAGGAAGGATTGATGCTGCTGCTCTTTTAGCAGAGCTGATGAAATGGCATGGTGTCCCATGCTGCTGCCTGATGGGATACAGTGCTTTGAACTGCAGCTTCACCAGCTTTCCAGGCAGAGCTTTTTTCCATGACATACCTGAGTCACCAAACTATGCTCACTCCTTCCCTCTTTTGGAGTGACAGTGGCATTACCTGTGAGAATTGGGCAAATTCTTTGTCAGCCAACATAGGAACATGGCCCAGCAGTTCATGACAGCAATCACTGTAGAAAACAAAATGCATTGTTAAAACAACACATGTCTTTCGCCTTTTCCTGACAACACTTGCTCGCTACATCCCAGTGCAAGGCAACAACATGGACACTAGCATAGGGACCAGGCCCCTGCAAGAAGCTCCGATCAGCTCAGTTCCTGTAGCTACTCTAGAAGCACTGTTACAAGACCTAATAATGGCATGCACAAGATGGGGGGCTCAGGTATTTGCCCATCTTCCACACTGATCTGCACTGCCATGGTTCAGCAAAGCCCTTCTGCATTCTGCACAGAGCAAACAGGCCGGTTTTTATGGGGGAAAATGGACATCTGAAATGCCAATATTCAGAAATCTGTGTAGGAAAACATTAGCCTTCCAGGGTCCTCTGTCACTGACCATAACAAAGCCAATGAAATGTCAAATGGAGATCAAAGCAAAAGAATGCTGAGTTAGAATTGAGATTAAGTTCCTTTGCCAGATTAAGAACTGTAGTTTTTAAAATTGTACTACTGTGTAAGCTACTTTGAGTTTCTTGTGGGAAAAGGGTAAAGTTATAAATGCAATAAACACACTCAGTGCCATAAAGCACATATTATCAGTCTTGCCCTGGGCATCCTAAGCCTTCAGATCTGCCTGAAGTCTGGTGTATGGCAGGGTTGGCCAACCTTTTAGAGACCAAGTGCCCAAACTGCAACCCAAAACCCACTTATTTATTGCAAAGTTCCAACACGACAATGAAACCTGAAAACTGAGGTTTTAGTTTAGAAAAAGAACGCATAGCCAGTCCAAGCAAATATATATATATATCTCCTTGGCAGCACACTGACCAGCCATGCAAAAGCTCGGATGAGTTGCAGCTAATGAGTCATGGCTCGTGACGTCATTGCCTGGCTCTGCTACTCCTTTCCGAGCATGCGCGTGGCCCCTGTGTGTGCTGTTATCTGATGCTCGGCTGCTGGGGCGATGCTGGGGAGACTTGGCTCGCGTGCCGACAGAGAGGGCTTTGCGTGGCTCCTGTGGCATACATGCCATGGGTTCACCACCACTGCCCTAACCCTACCCTGGTGCACTCCCCTAACCCTAATATAGGGCTAAAGTTCCATTGAAAAGAGTGGGATTTTCAAAAAGCCTTCCTTGAGTAGCTTCTTCTGCACAGCTCATCATTTCTGCCCATTCTAAACACATTCCAACCATCAAAATCATGCCAGGACACCTCATTTTTCTAACCCTAACCCAGCAATTGGGAACCTTTTAGAGACTGAGTGCCCAAACTGCAACCCAAAACCCACTTATTTATCACAAAGTGCCAACACTGCAATAAAACTTGAAAACTGAGATTTTAGTTTAGAAAAAACAACTCACAGCCAGTCCAAGCAAATATATACAGTATATATATCCTTGGCAGTGCACTGCCTGGCCATGCGAAAGCTCAGATGAGTCACAGCTAATGAGTCGTTGTTCGTAACATCATCGCCTGGCGCCGCTACTCCTTTCCAAGTATGCTCATGGCCTCTATGTGTGGTATTATCCAGTGCTCAGCTGCTGGGGCGATGCTGGGGCAACTTGGCTCGTGTGCCAACAGAGAGGGCTCTGCGTGCCCAGGTATGCCACCACCGTTGTATGGTGTATGGTGTTCTATTGTCAGCCTTAAAGAAAGTTTCAGCTGCCAGTTCAGCCTGCTTTTCTCCATAATATGGGATGAAGCAGCAGCTTATCCTTCTGCAGGCAGCAAAATACCTCAGGCCAGCACTGCCAGACCAAGACATTTGGCCACCTGAGGTAAAGGACAAAGAGATACCCCTTTCTATTCCATGGACAGCCACTAATCGGACTGGGAGCTGAGTCTTTCTGATGCACCAGCATCTTGCACTGTGAGCAGTGGCAGCAGGGAAACATTTATGATGTCCTTCCTCTCCCCAATGGTCCTCCATCAGAGGCTGCATAAAGGAAGGAAGGAAGAGAGGGAGGCAGGGATGGATTGGAGGGATTGTATGATCAGTGCCATGAGCTGTTTGACCCTCATGCAGATTTGTAGAACTTTTAAAAATGTAATTTGGCAGTCTGAATGCTGATGTGGGATTTTAATGTCAAGACTTGAAAATAAGCAGAATGTAATAAAATATGGACTGAAAAAGGGATGGAGCAGAGAAGTTACTGTGTGGCCAGAAAAGGGTGTTGCGTGTGAATATATCATAAAAGATTGATACTGACAGGCAAAGTTAAGTGGATGCCAAACTGTGCGAGAATCATGAAGGCTCCATACAGCCTTTTCCTGCTCCAAGCTACTTTCTGGGAAATACGTTCCTCACGCCTCACTTTTGGCAAAACTGAAACACTGTATTAGATGGAGTTCCAATCCAAAATGCAGAGCCATGACTAACCTCGCCAGCCACGGCCTGAGAACTATTACATTAGCTTTCTACTCACGGTTCTGGGGAATGCATTGGAGACGATGAGTGCCTTATGTACTGCGTACTCTGAAAGACGCGGAATGCCAGGCTGGCAAGGAAATCACGAGCCGACAGAAGCCCTGCAGCTGGTCTCAGTTTAAAGCCTGTTCTTTCTGCAAAAGCAAGTAAGAGGACAGTGCAAACCTGAGGGTGGGTAAACAGACATGATGCCAACATGCAGAGAAACAGACCTGATGCCCATGTGTCTGTCACACAGCCTCTAACAATCTCCAAGTCATCTCCGGGCTGTTCTTGTGCACGCACATAAGGCAGCCTCCCCAGTTTTGGGTTTCATCTCCCATCAGCTCCAAGAACTGGCCAATGGTCAGGAATACTGTAAGTTTTATCTGAAGTGGAAGTTTTGTCTAGGAAGTGGAAGGCTAGGGAAGGTTGACATGAGATATATATATATCCACCATCAAAATAGCAGGTTTGAAAGGTAACAAAAAGATTGTAAGAGGTTGTGGGCAGAGACACTGTCGTTTGAATAAATGGGCTTCCATTTGATGAGGGGCAGAGTTTCCTATTCCTTTTAAATCCCCTTAACTATAGCCGCATACATTTCCACACCATTCCAGAGGTTTTGCTAACCCCAGGGAGGATTCTCCGGTGGCCTCTGTGGGAAGGAGGTGTGGTGTAGACACAGCTCTCTGGATCCCATCCAGGCATGTGGGGCAGACAATCTGCAGAATATCAGGAGGGCCACTTGATGATGGTCATGACTGCTGGAGGATACTGTCATTAACTGGGCTTTTACAATGTTTATTTTCTCAGATATTTCTCTATCACTTTTCATTAAACATCCCAGGAGAGTCTGCAAAGAACAGATAAACAAGGCAAAAATCTAAAACATACCACATTCTGATGATGATGAATCAGATTTAAAAAAACAGCTATAACCCAGGGCAATTAAAATCAGATACCAAGCTGAAATGATACACCACCAAAGCCCTGAGTACAAATACAAATGAGTTTGCATGAGTTGCCAAACTATCAATAGTGTTGACACCTGTCTGAATTTAAGGGAAGGGCCAATCCATGGAAAGAAGGTCACCACAGAGAAGGTCCAGTTCCTGTTTAATGCCAAATGTACCTTTTCAACCCAGCACACAGTCAAAGCAGCACAACTGACAGGAGAGATGCTTTTGAGGTAACTTTGCCCCAAGCTGTTCAGGGCTTTCAGAACCAAAACTTTAAGCCTGGCCTTGAACCCCCAATGTGTCTGAATTTCCACATGCAAGAGAAAGGAGGAGGAGGCACATAAAGTGGAGGAGACATAAAGTGTGGCTCATTCTTGTATCTGAACCAGTTCTCTAAGCCACCCTGAGGAAGAGTGGAACATGTGTATCAATTCATACATCCATCCATCCATCACACAGGATTGATTCCCAAATGTTAGAATTACTGGATGCAACCTAACAGGAGCACATGAAAAACATCTCTCAGGAAAACATCTCTCACACATGAACACCTCTCTATCCCAAAGGACCCCTCCCTTTGATTCTGGACTCCTCTGTGGAATTGTCTGCTCCCATACAGGTGCTCTTTTTGCTAAACACTTCTATTACCCTTTCAGGTTCAGAATTCTTCACATAGCTGCATGCAAAATTATATAACACAAAAACCAAACAAACCTCCAGACCCCAAGGTCACATTCTTAAATGTGGACGTTCCAAGGGCTTCACATGCAGGAAGGGGTATTGGAATGTCATTTGTAACAAGTAATGTGGGAAAATATACTTTTCATTTATTACTCTCCAATAAAAATAGATCTGCAATAAAGAGTTGGAGGTGCCAGAGTCCACTTGGATTGATTGCTTAATATCGTCTGGAAGCCCAAAGAGAGTTGAAAGCAAAGTCATGACCAGTTGCCCTAAAAGAACCTATAGGAATAATTTTCCACTCTTGGCCTCCACATACTGTAGCTACATAAAATCATTTTTCTTCTTTGGCTGTATTTTTTCCTGTCTTGGAATAAAATCACTTTGGTATACAAAGATATATATTCCAGAAAACACGATTCTTTCTTTCTTTTTCTTTTTCTTTTTCTTTTTCTTTTTCTTTTTCTTTTTCTTTTTCTTTCTCTCTCTCTCTCTCTCTCTCTCTCTCTCTCTCTCTCTCTCTCTCTCTCATTCTTTCTCTCTCTCCTTTTTCCTATATAATTGCTTGGGAAACCATATTTTTGTATCTAGATTGTAAGAATACTTAACAGCTTTCTGCAAAGGAATTAATTGACGTATATTCCTAATGGTGTGATGTGTGAATTCCCTGCAGCACAATTCAGAGCTGGGCTTTTGAAATTGCCTCTGGGCAATTCTGAAATATTAACATTTGGGAATAGCCCATTACAAGGCCCCATTTCTGAACTTAGTATCTATCACTTGCTGGTTGTCCTGTGACCTGCAGATTGCCCTCTTTGTCATTTTCTTGGTGGTGGCACCTTCCACCTGGGTATCCAAGAGACACCAGATGTAGTATTTGTTCAGGCACCAATTAAAGACTTGTATTTTCACTCAGGCCTTTTCAGAGTGATTGCGCTGCCCAATTTCCTTGCTGATTATGGCATTGTGTGTTCTCATGGATGACTTATACAAATGTTTTTGCATTTAATAGGATGCACTTTGTAAAATTTTAATGAATATTTAATTTATTAAAATTTTAATAATTAATGTATTTTAATGCAGATTATTCTTTTTGTAAATTGCTTAGATATTTTTAAACAAGGTAAGTGATATATAAACCTATTAACTAACTAAATGATAAAAGCAACAATAACGGCCATGTAGCCCCCAGTCATATCTTTGAAGAGACATTTTGGTATAGATCTTGCCCTGCTGAAATAGGCCTGCTGTTAAAGTAGATTCCAGGTAGAAAACCCAACAGGGCAGCAGAATATGCAGGACAAGTTCTACTGAGCCAAATGTGATTCTAGTCTGCACTTGTCCCTTAAACTCACTTGCTGATATTTTGCTTGCCATTCAGTCTTGGTTTACCTCACAGAGTTGTTGTGTCTATTTATTTATTTATAAGATTTGTATCCTGCCTTTTTCTTTTTTAAAGGGCTCAGAATGGCTTACATGATTCTCCTCCTGCTGCTCTCAGTCTTACACTCACAATGACCCTGTGAGGTAAGTTACTGTGAGGATAAAATGGAATCGAGGAGAACTGTGTAAGTCATCTTGAGCTTCTTGCCATAGAGTCCCATTTCAGAAAATTCACTGTTCTGAACCAGTTTTATTTTAACTCTCTCCTGTTCTCTTCTTAACCTGACTATGTCTTGATTGGCTTACATAGGGCTGGGAAAGGCCAGAGTGTATTTAGAGGAAGGCTTGAAACAGGGCAAAAAAGGGGAGGGCCTTTTCAGTGGTGGCCTCACCACTGTGGGATACTCTCGCCTGTAATATTGTCTCAGTGCCAACACTGGCAGGTTTTTGAAATCATGTTCAGGCTTATCTTTATTCACAGAAACCTGACAGGGTTTTTAAATAGGGCCTGGAATTTTTACTATTGTTTGATTACAATACTTGTAGAATTTTGAATGTAGATTTTTTATATTATTTAGATCATGCTCTGTTTTTATACCATTAATTTCTGCAAACTGCCCAGAGAACTTTGCCAACTGGATTGTACAAACATGTGATAAATAAAAGGAGACCAGGACTGAACAGCCTTTTACATAAAGGAACCTTCAATAAGGGAGGCCACCTGGCCACCCTATGCCAGGTGTTGACGCTAGCCATGTATCACAGGGGCTGTGTGATCTTACCTGTTAAAAACACAGACACATCTTCTAGTTGTGGGATATGGTCTGCTTGGTATCCACAGTATTTTTCAAGCTGATAGAAGGCACCCAGGTACTGCTTACAGGCATGGGTGGGGTACAGACTGCTAAGCTTCTGATAGATTTCTTTCCTGAAAATAACAAGGATTAGCATCTTTGTTTGTTTGTTTTAATTTCCAGAGAAGCAGATGTGCTACTCCACTGCAGCAGGAATGATAAAGCATTGTGTGGCAAAATAAAATAATTTTACTCTCGCATATACGGATGTGGACATTGTTCATTTCTGATTTCCTTCTCTTCCTCCCATAATAGTGGGATTCATCTTTTCATCAGTGGAATCTCCCCACCAGCAGCAGATTTAGAGATGTGTGTCTTTGTGTGCTTAAAGCACTGCACAGAGTCAGGTGTACTCCTTGTATAGGCTGCTCAGTTTGTAGATGTGAAAATACAAAAAGCTGAGGAAGAGGAGAGCTGGAAATACGCCTGCAAGTATTTCTTTTAGGGGGCAGTGTAAAATTGGAAGGGGGAATGATTCTGGAGGTGTGGGGGAGAGGAATAGGACTGCAGGCTAAATATCACAAAATGTGAATGTTTTTCAGATGTGCTGAGAGTTCACATTTTATATTTTAAGAATATTTGATTTAACAATCATTTTCTCTTTAAAAACACAGAGATGTGTACTGATGTACACAGAAGGAGAGACTATTAGAAAGAAGGCAAGTAATTTTATGATGGTAGAGAGCCTTATGGGAAAATAGGTTTTATTACTAGCAATATCATCATCATTATTTTTCAACTTTGGGGTTCTAACACATTTGTAAACACTGTTTTATGAAAACTGACATCATTCTTGGAAATGCTGACTAAGGCAAAGAGTCTTTTCCTGTTTGGAGACTGCATTTCTCTTTTCTTTGCTGTTCAAGGGTTGCTATGTTGGACAGCCAGCATCCTATAGTAATGGCTTCTGGTTTGGATGACTATTGGGGGGATACTACTGCAAGGTTAAAGAATAAGAAACAAATATATTTCCATCCCACACTGGCTCTTGTTGGTAAGGTAAAAATCTGCAGAGGCTTTGGATCACTCTCATGATGCAGTCAGGAAAAGCTGAGGAGAGCCAGGCTTTGCTGTGATCCAGCAAACTCCCTATGCAATGTTGTGGAAATCAGCATCAATGTAAAAAATAATGCAAGATATTTGGCCCAAATCTTGAGCCAGCTTTTTCCACTTTATCTAAACATTTTGCTTTAGTCTGTAGTTACAATAAAAAGGACTTTGTCACATGGTGCATAAAATAAAAATAAATAGTTAAACTATGGAATTCACTTCCACAAGATGAAGCGATGGGCACAAGTTTGGATGGTTTTAGAAGGGGGATGGGACTACTTCATGAAGGAGAAGGCTATCCATGCTTACTGGCCTTGTTGGCTACGGGCTACCTCTGCTACCAGAGGCAGTATGCCTGTGTGCAGCAGCTGCTGAGGACATGGGCAGGTGGAACTCTTATACTCATCCTGCTTGAGGGACCCTGTGGGCAACTGGCTTGCCACCATATAAACAAGAGTTGGACCACTGGACCATTGAATGGACAATTGGTCTGATCAAGCATGGCTGGTCTTATACGCTTGTATAGCTATTATCTGAAAATGGGTATGGGAAAGTGGAGAGGAAACATGTCACAATTCCAACTTCTTTTGCATTTAGTACTTAGTGGAACATCATGACACCATGCAAAATCATGTACATACCATGTAGCAGTTTCTTGGGCAGTATACTCAACTCTTGGTAATGGGTCACCCCTGTACAAAGGGGGAAAAGAGTATATTTAATTAGAATTCCTTTGCATGCTTCCAATAAGATGGATACCAAGGAAGGATGCTTAGACTCCTATTGTTTGGACTAGAAATGAAGAAATACTGACCACCCAAGATGGTTCCACTCAACAGCACCTGGAAGCACCTGAAGATCCTGCCTGGAGTGTGAAATTTATAGAGCCAGGAGGTACCCCATTGGCCTCCTGTGTCAGCTGACTCCTGCTGACCTGGTAGCTGCCGTAATGCATCCTGATCATCTGGATCAGGGTCACCAAAGAATAGCAGAGAGAAGGTTGGCCGGTTCAAGGCACGGGTCCCCTAAAGTCACTCATAAGCAATTTCCCTCCCCGGCATGATGAAAAACAACCGTTCCACACATGGCAGCCATGGCAGCCCAACACCATGAGAAGCAGCCATGTCATGGATGGAAGCCATTAGAAGCCAATGTGTGGGTAGACCAGGGTGCAGGCTTAGCAATGTGACCCCAGTCAGCCACGGCTTGCTGTGACCTGGGAGCCTACTGTGCAATCCAATTTAAAGCAGCACCCAAGTTCACATAGAGCATTCCTGAATGTCATATTTTTAGCACGAAAGTGCCTCATCAAGCCAAAGCATGCCCAGAACCACCTACAAAGAATGTGGGTGGGAAACTGCAGCTCCCATCAACCTTGACTATTGGCCAAGTGGACAAGGGATAATGGGAGGTGAAGTCCCACAAGGACTGGATATCTAGCAGGCTACAGGTGCCCCAACCCATTTATGTTGTTCTCCTTTCCTTTGCCATTTGTTCCATTTCTCAAATGAAGGGTGACATGGATGTCACAGTCAAGGATCTAACCTTGCAAACACAGAAGACCAGGGTACATATTGCAGGAGTGTGCAAAAGGTGAAGACGCTAGGCTAATGTTTTTGTCCAGTGTTGCATTGTTGCTGCACTTACTGTCTGAAGTTAAAGGCCAGGTCAGCAAAAAAGGCCCTCCGCTTCCGGTATTCTGGGTCTGTGTACCCCTAAGGGAAAGGAAGGGAGGAAGGAAAGGCTCGTGCTGCACAGTAAAAGGCAAAACCAAAAGCAAGCAAGCAAGCAAACACACCCAAACTCAAACCCAACTCCCCAGTGTTCAACTGTAGTTGTGAAAATAAGTGGTGAATTTTGAAATTCAGCAGTGCACAGTGGGATTTTAATTTAAAGTTTTGGGTGATCTTCCTGCTTAGATTTTCAGAATGAATGTTTTAATGCTGCTTGCAAAATGAGTTCATTGGAAGCATAGTAAGTGATTTAATGCACAATCCTATAACTCCTGGCATGGCTGTCATATCTCTCTCTCTCTCTCTCTCTCTCTCTCTCACACACACACACACACACACACACACACACCCCGCTCACCATGAGCCCAGGCAGAATGGCTGAAAATGGACATGGCTCTTGGGTGGAAGGAGGCATGTTGAAGCCTGCATCTTGCCTCTTCCTCTGATTATTCCACCTGGCAATCCAGCACGGGCTAGTGTGATGCAGCATTTCAAGTGTTGGACTAGGCCTCAGGAGGCCCTGGTCCTAGCTTCTACTGGGCCATGAAGATTGCTGGGTGCCTTCGGCCAGTCCCAGCCTAACCTACTCACAAGGCTGTTGTGAGGATTGCGTAAGCTGCACTGGGTTCCTCACAAAAGGAAAAAAGATGGGATATAAGTGTAATTACAATCTTATCTCTGCAGCTATATGTTACAAATGCCACTTGGTGTTCTCATGAGCAGAGGCTCCATCTTGAGTCAGTCCTATCTCACCTGCTGTAGTATTATTCAGAAGGCCAGCTGAAATGGTCCAAGGTTTGTACAATGTTTGTTGCTGTTGTTGTCATCCATTACTTGAGGAATGTTCACATTACCATTTATTGGGCATGGCTTTTTAGAGAGTTAGAAAACACAAGTCCTGCCCCAAGAAACTTACAATTTTCATTTTGAACAGTGGGCGAGTTTATTACAGTAAACAGAAGATAAAACAATAGAATTAACAACTGCCTTCAGCAGGACCATTAAATCACAGAACAAAACAGATCAATAGTTGCTTATCTGTCCAATGTTTTATAGTGGCTTAGTTGCCTCTAGGCCTGAATAACTTGGGAGTTACATTCCTTACTCACCGGATGGTCATGATCCAAATCAGGGTCATATTTGGTGATCAGGTGATGGCACTTGTCAAGGTCTCGTATTTTCTTTGGGAACCATGGGGCTGTCAGAGAGGATATAAAGAGCAAGATGTAAATGGCACAAAGCTGTTCTGGGGGCATCACAGGAGCGGGTGCTGCTCAGTGTTATTGTAAAGATGGAACCAAAGCTATGGGGATCTAGAAAAAGTGCTGGAGGATCAGACATCTAAAGGAGCAGTTCTAGAGTTAGTCTGGCTAAGGGATTTTAGGGTTACTCTGCTACTCTGACAGAATATCAGATATGCTGCCAGCCCAACTGGCTATGCTAACTGGGGCATGCTGGGAGTTGTAGGCCTTTTCTGAATCTCAATTTGCATAGGACTCTGCTGTCTGATCTTGCAATCAGATACCCTGGCTTAACAATTTTGCATATCACCATTTAATAATCCCCAATAAATAATTTGCTACTGATTAAAGACTTTGTGTCCATGTGAGAATATGAAGGAAAAGCTCCATGTACTACATACCCTTTTCTTCTCTGTTAGTTTTAACATCTTCTGCCACCCTCTTTAAGGAATTAATGAGGCTGCTGATCTTGCAGGTCAGAACTTCACATCTCACAAAACAATCGAGGTCCTCTGCAGTGTGTTTTGACATTCTAGCTGGTCTAGTTTCAAGGTGATTGATTTTAGCTTCAAACATCTGTAGAAGACAATCATGTGCACAAGGTTTTCCAACTGTGTTGCACAAGACTATTTCCAAAAGTCACAAGCAAAAATTAAAAACAACATCAATACACACACACACAGCAAGGAGCACCCCTTCTTTCCCAAGTGAATTAAGTGGCACATGCAATCAGGAGTCAGAAATGTGCAGTGCTGTCCTTTGAATGTTTTTATTCTCAGGTAACATACAGTGTTCAATGGGATCTACTTCCAGGCAGATTTTCATAGGACTGCAGCCTTAGCCATGTTCTCAGCTATGTTAGCAATGCCAGCTCTAGGTTTCTGATAGATCTTGGGCAAGACACCGTCCAGGAGTCACTCCTTCAGTACTGAGATCAGGCAACACAGTGTGTGGGTTGTTGTTGAACTGCGGGTTGTTACTGAAATCTTGGTTAACATGTTGTCTGAACCCAGCTGAGATGACAATCATGCTCAACAATCCACAGTTCACAAGCTAACTAGCAAACTTTTCCTGCATGAAGAAGTATCGATAGGAAATCTTCACTCTCAGCTGAATTTCTATGGACCACATCATTGTTCAAGACACAGGAGCCCCTGCACAGGTGTCACTTCTAAAAGAAAAGGGAAAGTTGGATGAGAACCAGGAGTGGTGGAAACAAAGCTATTAGACAAGGTGAAAGTTTGATCTAATCAAGGGAGAGGCAGGTTAGAATGATTGTCACATTGCAATGGTGATCAGTTTTGAAGTGCAGGAGTTAAAACCAAACACTCACTAGTACATTTCTTCACTCACTGCATTCTTATCCATAGTTACCTGGGAGTAAACTGCACTGGACCTAATTGGGCTCCAGATTCAGCTTATAAAATACACTGTGCTTTAGCAAGAGATCTTCAACTAGCTGAAATGCAACCCTTAGCTTTTAATTAGGTAAGGTAGCACAAGGTAGCACAAACATATTTCAGATGCTAGCATGAAGTAGACACCTGCTCTCAGAAGAGGAAAGCAGTACCCAGCCTCCACTTGAATCTGCTCCTTGTCCTGTGCACTACTCTCTCCCAAAGGATAGTAAAAACCGGAAAGAGCCTTGATTACCTTACCAGCTTGCCAGAGAAAGGCGTATCAGCCAGCTATCTCTGAAGCTCTGGCAGAAGACACCATAGCTTCTGCTCTGAAGAAGAGACATAGATTTGCATTTCTCCACTACTTGGTGATTACCTATTGTAAAATGTGGAGGTAACCTCCAAAGAGCCAAAACCAATCGGGCTTTGCCACAGCATCCTGCTTTCACACTGGCTAGCTAGCTACCTTCAACAGCCACACTGTGATTCAGCTACCATGTTAATAGCCACGGACAGAAATTCATGAATTTTCTAATTTTAAACCAGGGGCAGAAAGAAAGTAGATGCTCAGATGTTGTGGACTTCAGTTCCCTGAATCCCTGATCTTTGACCTTGCTGGCAGATGCTTCTGGAAGTTGGAGTCCAAAATTTCTGGAGATCTACCTTCTACCCATTCCTGGTCTAAACCAGTAGCTGTCATCAGACCATCCCCAGTCCAGGGTAAAGTGAAATCTTTTCAGATTTAACCCCCATCAATCCCAGCTGGCATGTCCCATCAGTCAGGAATGCTGGGAGTTGCAGCTCACGACCTCTGGAGGACACCAGGGAGATATTTCCCCAGATTTTGTGAGGAAATCGGAGTCCTTAGTGTGAGGGGGGGGGGTGCATCCATCCTCAGTCTACTGGCAATGAGTTGCTGGTAAGTTGGAATTATAGTAGCAAGCAAAAAGAAAGAAGTTCTTTCTAGACATGGCTCCATGCTATTGGGGCTTAGGGGAGCTATAGTTCAAAACGTCTGAAGGGCTTAGGTTGCTTCTACCATCATTGGTCATATTCTCTTCTCCCCCCCCCCCCTTCACAAATTGGTGGAAGCTCCCCTTGCAGGAAGCCCCTTGCAGGGCTATAATTATAATGACGAAACAAGAAGCACATTGCTAACACTAGCCGTGTGAACCAACCCTAAATATGTGCGGGGCCACGGAGCGGGCAACCGGGCAGACGTACCTCGAAGACTTCGGCTGTCCTGGCGATGCCGCCTCGCCTCCCGCCGCGGAGGGCGAAGGTCAGGTTCAGCGTGTCTCTTTCCTGGGCCCAGTCGTGCCTTCCTCGTTGGGTCGACGCCTCCATCCCTGCTCCTCCCGGCTCGCTGGTAGGCACGCTGCCTGTCGGGCAAACCGGGCAGGCACTGCGGGATCGCCCTCGAAGGAGGCGGGGAGTCCACTCCGGGCGGGCTCCACCCCGCGGCCCTCGGGGGCGCGCTGCCACTGGGGGAAGGCTGGAGGCGCGCGTGGGGGAAGGCTTTGGCGAAGCTCCGCGCGCTTCGCCGCTCCTTCCGTGCCCCGCCCTCCTGCTGGGGATAATGGGAGCTGCAGCCGAACACTTCCAGTCCCGTGACTGACGGAGGGGGAAAGGGACACGATCCTTTCTCCCGTCTTCTGGTTAGCTTCGGCGTTGCGCTTGTGTTCGCCGCCTCCTAATAACTCGCAGGCATTGAGCCGATGGGGCTGCTTTGTTTTCATTTACTTTTAGGGTCTACTTTTGCATACTCCTCGTCGCTTTGAGGAGTTTTTCATGTTCATTGCTCGTTGGTATAGCACAATGGAGCAATATATGAATCTGATCTGTTTGCGGGAAGGGCGCCCCTCCCGCTTGGCTTTCCCTTCTACGGGAAATGCGCCCGGCCGTCCACAGGCACCACGCTGCCTTACCTTTCCAGGAAGAACTTCAAAGGCAACCGTGGCAGCGTTGTTGTCCCTGTTGGCTGCGGATGGTGGGACTTATAGTCCAGCATAGCTAGATCCCGGTCTTTTGTATCGGTCGTTCACCCAGCACGAGAGGGAGAGTTTTTCCGTTGGATGCGCAAAGTGGGGACACCTTGGGATTTGCTCAAGTGGGGACAACTTGGCGGGGTTTCTCCCAGCACGGCATCCCACAGGGTACCTCCCGGGTACAGATGCGATGGCGAGCGGCTTGATTGTGCTTACATCAAAGGCTTCCCTTCCTCTTCTCGTGGGGCATCCTTAGTTGGGGAAGCTGGAGGCGAGACTGCCGAAGTCTCGGGAATTTCCATCCATATCTGAAATCCATTTGCAGCCTATTCTAAATGCGTTTTTAAACAAAAGGGAGTCCCGTCGAGTTCAGTGTGACTTACTCCCTTGTAAGAGGGAATAGTTCTTCAGTCAACCTCAAAGGAAGAATGGCAGTGCAAATGTTCTGAAATAAGTCCCTTGGATTTAGCTCAGTATAGATTTGGTCGGACTGGGATAGCAGCTGTATCCCGTGCTCATTCACCTTTGCGGAGCAGGCTGTGTTTTAGTCTTTATTTTATTTAAAAGCTTCGCACCCTGTTGTGTCACTTGCATCCTCAAGGCACGTTTACAATGCAAATAAATATATTATGCACCAAGTGTAAAAATGGTTAGTGGCTACTTATAAAATGAATGGAAACTTACTTAGAAATGCCTATAAAATTTGCTGGTTTGTGAATGTCTGTTGTAACCATTCTAAATTACTATTTTCCCAATTTCAAACCATTTATATGGAAGTGGATGTGCCAACAAAGAAGAGGTCTTATATCTCGAAATTTGCTTGGTGAAAAAACAAAAACAAACAAGCCAACCCAAGAAAAGCAACTGCTTAACAAAAAAGTGGCACAGTTATTGAGTAGAAGTCTTGCTTGCTTGGATGCATGCATAACCAGGAGACCCATAAATGCAGATGGTGCATTTGGGCAATAGATTACGAATTTTGCATCAAGACGTTTGCTCTGACTAAGGTCCTTGTTCCTGATATACATTTAAAGCTTCAACAGCTCTGTCACACAGCTGTCGCGTGCCAGAAACAATTCTGGTTACATTTTTGTCCCAGTTTATTGTTAGCATTATTTTACTTTTGGAATGGAGAGCAGGGCAGAAAGAAGTGGAAACTCCTAATCTGGAGTTGGTTCCTCTAATATGGAGTCTTTCTTTCGTTTTCTGTTGAAACTGTTTGGAAACTCCTAATCTGGGGTGAGTAGGAGAGATAAGGATACAAAGGGAAGTTTCAAAACTCTTGTACATGTAAACCAAATTCACATTATTTTGGAGATAAAATGAAAGCAATGCATTGTCCAAAGCTGCTTGTTTCACCTCAATTTTAGATACATATTATCTGATAAAATGCAGTAATGACTCACAGTTGTATGATCCATCAAAAGCCATTTATGACTGTTTTACTGTTAGTATGCTTGGAATCAAGCAAACATTTCCAGATCTGTTTTATCCCAAAGGAAGGTAGCAGTGAAAAGTTACCATTTTTTTCAGATTTGTAGTGTAATTGATTTGACTAAGTTAACCTTACTTGCCTGCATTGCTTTTATTGTGCTGTGCAAGAGAAAATCTAAATTTATCTACTTAGTGGTCCCACTGAGTTCGATGGGATTAGCTGTCAACTAAATGTATAAAAAAGTTGCTTTCAATTTTAATATGTTAGGATGCAGTTCTCTCTCTCAAGAAGTCTATCCCAAGATATGAATATGATGTTGGATTTTCACAGCAGTAAGAGTTCAGAATTAATATGATGTCTCTTTTGGAAATATAGGGTGCAAAGTAGGATTGATGGGGCGGGGGAAGTGTTGAAAAGACTAAGTGAGCAGCCATGAACCTGACACCCTCAGTTTCCGTATCCCATACTATAGGTTATTCTGACTCCATCTGATGGGAATTGTAGTCCAAAACTTATGTATGATGCAAAGTTGGGAGGAAATGGTAGTGATATCATAATAGTTGCTCTATGTTTTGAGGCAGGGGTTGTCTAGTCTGTCTGTCTGTCTGTCTATCTGTCAGTGCAGTCCTATTCATGTCCACTGAGGTCCCAGGCATCTTTGTAGAAGACTGCAGCTTAAGAAATTAATACCCCCCTTTCTCCCCTTTTTCCAACAAAGATGCACAACCAGTTATCATATTAAATCGTTAAAAGCACAATTGTATGCACGTCTACTTAGAAATAAGTCTTCTTGATGTTAATGGGGTTTAGTATTCCCACATAAGTGGCTATATGGTGTTCAGCCTGAAACAAAACCAAGATCCTTGTCCCTCGTTTCCAACAGACTTGCTTCAAAGCCAACTCCAAGCGGTGGATTGCAGTTTAACGCTCTTCGTAGCTGAATAAACAGTTGCTGTCCGAGGTCCTGAAACTTCATTACTTTTCTGGCTCCTAAAGTGGGATCTCTTTCATCCATGGGGTCCCGATAAGTTGGAGTCTACTTGACAACGCGTAACAATAACACGGCGAAATCTAGATTCAAGTCAAATTGCTATGCTCAATTGTGATGTCGATGCATTGCTTCCCCCATTAGGTCTGACTTGGTGGTGGGGCACAGGGATAGAAAGGCTTTTGGTCAAATTTCTTCCAGCTACAGGGCTAACTTCAGAGACCAGACTCTCAGAAACTTTGAGAAGTGCACCCTGAAATTGTCACTAGCTGTTTTTTATCAGGCTTGATGAACCAAGATTAAGCAAAACGAAGGCATTCAAAATTAATTCAATGTTATTACATTTTTAAAAGCTATTTGCTCCTATCATTAGCCCTAGCAGGTGACAAATATATTCACCTATATTCACTTCAGTGGGAATGAGCAGTTCCAGTCCAACACAGAGAAATGAAAACTTTTTGCTGTTATCTGTCAACAACAACAACAACCCACCACAGCTGAGTATCATGTGTCAGAGTCAATGACCCATTTGTTAGTCCCCTTGACCTGGAAAACAATCTCTTGCTCATTTTTCAAACACACATATGCATTAAAAGCTGCCAGAGAATCAGAGACATTTTGCCATTTTTTTAAAAAGTGGAACCAAACTCTATCAAGAAATACAGCTGGAGACTTTGGGATGGATAATATGGAGGCAGATAATATTCACAACTAAACAATAGATGTATTTTAATTGCTCTTTGTAATGGTGAGAAGTTGGAGTATATTGCTAGATGCTTTTGGATTCTTTGTCAAATAGGCAGAATATGATTTAAATATTTCAAATCAAGTCTACCAAATCATTAAGTTTTTCAGTTGAGAGCAATCTAGAAAATGTGGAATCCAAACACCATAAGAATGTTTGCAAAATAATGCTTGAAGTCAAACATTTACAAAATTGCATTTGAATTTTAGAAATGTGTTCAGGTAGGCTGAAACTCTTTTAGGAAAAAGTTGTGCACCCCATTATTCCCAATTCTCCAGAATGAAACTGATATGGACCTTATTGGAGAAATTTGTGGAGAAGTTATCTTCTGCCATGAGGTTTTAAGATCTATACTAAAAAGAATCACATCTGAGTGGAACTGCAACTGTTTTTAATAGTCAGTTTCACAATGGACAGGAATTGCATGAGGAAATCCAAGTGGCAGTCCCTAAAGTGTGATTTATCCAGTGTCCAATTTATGTACTGCTATAAATGTTTATTTCTGTTGCTACACCCATTCCCAGGTTAGCTGAAAACTACAGCAGAAAGTTTCAGTTATGTCTGATCTTTCATTGTAAAAGAATGATGTAATTAAAGATAACAGTCGCCCTTACTGCACAATCCCATGCTTGTTTAGAAAGAAAAAAGTCTGCAACTCCTTGCATGGTTGGGGCATACTGGAAATTGTAGGATTTTTTCTATCTAAACATGTAAAATTGCATCTTTAATGTAATTTCCCCTTGCTTTTTTTCTAGACCATTTAATATCATGGCATTATTCATCCTTCAATAAGAGCTATTATATCTAATATAGTTCAGAGGAAGAGATTGAAGCATACAGTTAACAATGCAATTTTATGCAGACTTACTTAAATGGATTTAGGACTGTAGCCTGACATGAATATTCAGTTGTTAGTGCCATTGGGTTCAATAGGGCTTATTCTCAGATAAATAAGTTTAGGATTGCATACTAAACCTTTGAAATGGCTTGATGCTGGTGGATCACATCCAATCTGAAGATCTGAATCATCCCCTGGTCCCTTTATTGGACTCATCTGCATAATCAAGTTTATTCATTTCAAATGTGTTACGCAAATGGAAAATCATATTTTTCCAACAACATCAAGATGGCATTTACATTTCAAAGTGTTGCCTCCTACTCAGTTGTGGCATTGCCATATTATATGACGTAGCTCAGTTTTTGACTCTCCAAACAACCTCTCAGAACAAGGGACTCCTTTCTCACTCTATCCCTGACCAAGGGGAAAGTAATCTCAAAACAAACCTTCAGAATTTCAATGTAAATTAATTCCAAGTTTAAGTGAACTGATGCCTGTGGAATATCTTACAGCATAACATTGGTAGAAAACAAACAGGTTCCATGCACTAGAATAATGAATGCAGTTTATTTATATAAAATAATAATATATGCTTGATTTTGCTTTTTAAAAAATTATGTCAATTAAGCTGCAATTTTCATGAAAGATGTATGTAGGTGCATTTACTCCTAAATATTTAGCTTTACACATGTCCCTTTAGTGGTACTCGCTTCCAATTTAGGGCATAATCCTGTACTCAAGTTCTTCTTGCTCAGAGGCAATAGGATTGGGTGGAAGCCTTGTTATATGGATAAAACTTAGGATATGCTGCCAGAATGAATGATGCGCCAGTGAAACTGCCCCGATTTTGCCAGTGGAACTGTACCACTGGAGAAATTATGTCAGGAGAATGGCAGAGGAAATATGTGAGCGGTGACAATCCTAACATGAACAGCATTTCTCGTTATTTTTCTTCCTGTGTGTCTTTTTCTTTGGACAGAGCAATCCCATGGTTCCTGGACTGAGCCATGGGATTTTTCAGGATCCCAATTACAAGGTTGTAAAAAGTGTTCTCTCCTTGGTGCTGGGGATCTGTACTCAGAACCTTTTCTCAGCCCCTTGTAACCACTGTGGAGAGAAGTGCACTAGCTGCTTCTCCAAGAGTGTAAGACTGAGCTTGGAGAAGGGCGTAACAGGGCATTCTAGGGATGGGAAGGGGGCCACCAGGATGCAACACATTCTGATAGCATCCAGACTTCATTTCATTGCATCCCTGCCAGAAGCACCACAGATCTGCAAGGGGAAGGCAGAGATTGACTCTACCACTTCTTCTGCCCTGCACAACTTCTGTATTTAAAGGCTTATAGCAGGGGTCTCAAACTCGCGGCCCGTGGGACAATTGCCGGGACGGACGGGGCACGGGGGAGGGGCCCTGCGGCCTTCAAAGTGCCGGCAGTGCCTGGGCCGGCCTCCAGGAGCGATGCGGGATGAGCGGCCCACCACCACCGCGGTGGTGGAATACTTGATGCGCCCAGCCTCACCCAGACTCTACTTCCAGCGGCCCCCAGGTAAGTTGACTTTGAGCCCCTGGCTTATAGGCATTCCCACTACATTGTGCCTTAAATGGTTGAGAGGTGGTATCTCTCCCAAGAGAGAAAGTAGCGTGGCACGGGCAGGAGGGAATGGATGCTACTCCATTGTTCCAGGCTAGCTAAACGCTCCTATTATATTATTTTTCCTCAAGCTTTAGCTTCATGGGAACAATCCACAGTGCTCTGTAGAGGTTAATGCAGTTTGGGAATGAGGTTCAGCATCATGGATAGATCTTATAAAGCAGAAAAGCAAAGCTACGAAGGATGCCCCACCTTTGTTTCACAACTGCATTTTACATTGAACTGTTATATGCCAAAACATATACATATGTCCAACATTATGTAGATGGACTTCCACTCTGGTAATAGGAACTTCCTTTCCCTCCTCTCTACTGCAACCCACAGCAAGCACACAAAAGACCCCAGAAAGGCTACAGAGGATTGCCAGGGGCAGTTGAGCTGCCAGTGGCGTCCGTTTTATGGGTGGAAAGGCTTTCTTGGATACACCCTTTAATAAGCATGTGCTACATTCCTGCATTATATTAATTATCAGCGTGTTGATTTTTTTTCTTTTAAATGTTTGATATTTCTTTCATCAAATCCTTTTTGCCACATGGCTCTTGGAACCAACAGAAGGCATCCAAGACATCGTCCTCATTTTAACTTCTGTAGAGCGTTGCAAAGAAGTCCCATTTCATCTACAAGAAAAAAAAGTTAATGTTTTCCTATGCTCCTTTTTAATTCCATTTGTAGACTCTCTTTCCTCCAAGGAGTGTAGGACAGTGTATGTGGGGTGATTCCCATATAGTCTTCATTGCAGCCTCAGGTAGGCAGGGCTTAGGGGTGGTGACTAAAAGATTGTAGCACAGGGATGTAAAACCAGGGTTCATCAATCCAAGTCCAACTCTGTCCCAGCTTGCCTCTACTAAGCAGATGGAAGTCATCTGGCATAGACATATTGCCATGGGCTGAATGGCAAGGTTGACAGTAGGGGAGAGATTGGATCAGAAGCACTGAACAGCTTATGAGGAGGAAGATCAAAGGAAGGCTTGATGGCCCACCAGCTGTTCCTGGACTTCAAGTCCCAACATCCCCAACCACTCTGCCCAGTTCCTTGACATATGGAGGCTACATATTACCACCCTAGTGTGAGGTGATCAGGTGAAGGAGAGCCAGAATGGGCTTTCTTCTCCTTGCTAGTGATGTGTAAAGGTAAAGGTAAAGGTAAAGGTTTCCCTTTGACATTAAGTCCAGTCATGCCTGACTCTAGGGGGCAGTGCTCATCTCCGTTTCCTGGCTGAGGGAGCCAGCGTTTGTCCCCAGACAGTCTCCGTGGTCATGTGGCCGGCATGACTAAACACCAACGTGCATGCAACACTGTTACCTGCCCACAGAAGTGGTACCTTTTTATCTACTTGCATTTGCATGCTTTTGAACTGCAAGGTTGGCAGGAGCTGGGACAGAGCAATGGGAACTCACCCCGTTGTGTAGATTCGAACCAGTGACTTTTCAATCAACCAGCCCAGCAGCACAGTGGTTTAAACCACTGTGCCACCTGCAGTGATGTGTAGGTTTTGTTAAATGCATTCCATCCATGTTTTGTACAGATGTTTGTCAGTGCACAGTTTACACCAATTACACATGTGAAAGTGAGCAGTTGTGCAGGCAGCTGGAATACTGTAGATCCTCCTCACTCAATGCAAAACCAGCCAGCAAACCTGCATAACTCAGAAAAAGCTGGTCCAGTGCAGAATTCCAGTTCAGATCTACAGACATCTCATCTCATTTGAATCTGACCCAAATTTCCCCAGCATACCAGGAGCCCATCCCCGTTGGCTACATCATAAGCAAGTGGAAAGAGTGTGGTGTTTGGATGCAAACTTTCCAAAGTTTACAGCCATGTCTAGCCATGACAAATGGTCCTAGACTGGTGAGTAAGGAGATTATGGTTGTGAGGACATCTAGACTGTCCTTCATGCCTGGGAATGTTAACATTTGCCACACAAGAGATAACATGTTGTCAGATCTTTTGGATTAATTGTGTGCCTTTCAAAATGGATTTGCATATAATTTTTCTCTCTGCATTCAGAGAATAAATTTGAAACTATGTTATTTTTCACAACAATGAACATTCTTCTTGAAGGAAAATCAAGACATACATAAACATTGGTGATTGGGATCAAGAAGAGTAGAGCTATAATTATATATGGAGTAATTGAAGCAAGCAAGTGGAATGCTCTGGATCTGGAATCTTGGAGGATAAATCTATGTATATCAGGGAAAATTACTTACTGCTGATGGCATCAGCTAAATTCTTCAGCTGCTTTGCATTGTCCAGGACCTCAATCCTTTCAGTGTATGGGTTGTAACGGACTGAGAATGGACGGAAAATTTTTGAGGCAAATTTCCTGAAGGAGAATAGGGAAACATGAATTCTTCCAAATGTTTGTGATTTTTAAGGAATACAGATCATCAATGCAGATTAAATAATGTGTGAAATGGAAAGATGAACAAGGCATGGATTTAGTGTAAGAAATAACAGTGGTAGCAACCACACGTCTTATGAGGTGGGGAATGTTCTAGATTGGGAAGGGATGATGCCATTTTGGCTGTTCTCAGCCTTCTCACAGTTTGTTCTCCCTTCCCCTTTGTGGTAGTTTTTATCTGAACTCCAGCTTTGGTGAGTTTTAAAAAATATTAATTAATAAATGGTTATCCTCATCCTTCAAATAAAGGTTTCCATGATCAGATGACAGGTGAGCATCAGATGTGATACTGATCTGAGACCTTCATGCATTGTGGACACACAAGAAGACCCCATAATAGTTCAACTCTACCTGAGCAGAGGTCAATTGTTTACCTTAACTTTTCCTTTGCATCTTTAAAACTTTCAGCAACATAGTAAATGGGCTGAAATTCAGTAACGGGATATTTCTGAACTGCTGTCCTTTCCAGATTGAGAGGTTCGATGGTAGGCTTATTTGATAAACAATACTAAAGGAGAAAGCAGAAAGGTTTTTATTTCAGACATACGTCTATTCTTCTTCTTCTTGCTGCCAAACCATAAGCTAATCCTATCTAATAGTCCCTTTGAATACCACACTGCTGTGGAGAGGGCCAGCAGTCACAGCCGGGCTACTCTGTATCAAACAGAAAATACCAGCAGACTTGGGAAACCCCTACGTTTGGAGAAACCACCCTGAGGGTCACTTTTTGGTAGAAAGGCATGGACATAAATTAAATAAATAAGTGCAAAAATGTAAGCAACAAAGAAAACCAAAATGAAAAGGAGTATTGTGCATGCTAACTCATCACAGAATATAGAGTGATGGATGGGGGGAAAAACCCACAGGGTGGATTGAATGCTTAGAGTGAATGGCTTGCTAGAACTCAAACAGCAGCACTCCTTTTAAGAAGGAGACACTGCAAGTCTGCAAGAGAAGCTACCTTCTAGTTTTACTGTGTCCACTTGTGCTGAGAGAAGAGTTCTTATACTAACCATCCTCAATCTGATGCCTTCAAGATGCATTGAACTGCAACTCATCCCATTGTCAACCCTGTTCTCTGCTACCTGTTCCTTCTCCTACCTGTATGTTAAGAGAGAGTGCTTCTAATGGCTTTTTCAATGCATGAGAGTTGAATTACAATTCTCATGATCTCCAACCATATCCTAGCCTGAAAGTGAGTTTCTGTGCCATGGAGAGAATGAGCATTCCATAAAAATACTCATGGGGTTCCATTCATTTTCAGGGTGAGCACAGGGCTGCTTGGCTGATTGTAAAGTAATATTGTCCAGAAGACCTGCTCCATTAAAAACAGAGTGATTTAGCCATCGTTACATTCTGACTTGCAGAAATAGGGACAAGAGTCACATATCCGTACCTGCAATTCACCAAACGAGGACAGCAGTCCAGCCCCATAAGCCTTCATCGAATTGCCTTCCTTACAGAGCCCAAATTCCACCGTAAACCAGTAAACCTGGTATAAAGTAAGGGATAAGGATTACCTGTACCTCTTGTGCACAAAATCCCAAGCACTAAGCCCACAAACGTCACTAGCCTGATTTTTTTTTAAATGTTTGAACTAGTTTTCTTTGACTAAATATAGGACTGCACCCTCAAATTCTTACTGAATGCTCCAGTATTCCTGCCTTCCTTTGCTAAACTTTACCTTCATTAGCGGCATACAACACAAGCATTGCCCAAGTGGTCGTAATCTATTAATGAATGGTTAAATTCTATTAACACTATGGTAGCTAATGGAATAAACTGCTATTTGTATTAAATGTACCATAAGTTGCATGCAAACATGGATTTATTATTCCATGGAGGGATTTCATTAGCATTTGGTGCCCAATATGTTTGCTGGTGACTTTGGTACCCACCAGCAAACATATTGGGCACAGAATGCTAATGTGGCCAATCTGGCAATATACATGAATATTGCTCTGAACCACACTGAAAGCACAACCAAAATTCTAGAGTTACCGTAGCAAGTTTCTCAATGTAGTCATCTGGAGCTCCCAGGGAAGCCAATCCAATTTCCTGTCAAAATGAAAGGTTATTATTCCATTTTTTAAAACACAATTTTTAAATATTAAAGCTGAAATATTCCCTTTATTGTTTCTGTTGTTGCTGTAAAATTTTACTCTATCAGAGACAAGCTTTGTTTTTCCAGCCTCACCCTCCACTTTTGATAGATCCTCTTTTCTGCTGGTCCTGCAAAAGGGAGGGAAGGAGGTGGGGCAGACCTCAGGATAACGTGGATCCTGACCTCTCCAGTCTCCTTCCCACTCACTGGAATGCCCCCCTTTCCCCCTCTCCAAGTTTGCTTTACCGTTCTTGGAGGTCAGGGGTTGGTGCTGCCATTGCCAGCGGAGGCTGGAACACTGTTTCCAAACTCAATCCGAAATATACAGTGGCTCCTCAAACACTGTCTAGGGCCATAGCAAGATTCCCTAAGTGCTCATTTAGTAATTATCCTACCTTAGTGAGATAATGTTTGTGTACATTACCAGATATTTTGTGGACATAAGTTATAGAGGGCTAATAAAGGCAGCTCAGTGCTTGAGGAGAGTAGTTCCCCTTCTTTATACCATGTCCCAAATGTAGTTCCCCGTTCTCCTGGCCCCTCTGTTTCTCAAAACAGTCTTCTCTGCTTGTTTCAAGCACCTTGCCTCAAGATTTTTCCAGGATGCAGGGAAATGCAAAGAAAAAAGCCCACTTCATGCTTTACTCACAGAAAGGGCCAAAACACGTAGAAAAGGACTCTGCGGCTACCTCACCCCAGGAAGTGGGGCTGATCCTGCCCTGGCTGCAGTTCCCACGCTGCTGGGAAATTTGGCAATTGCTTGGGAAGCCCACTAATGTGGAGAGATCAGTGCACCTATAGATTGGAGGCTTTTTCCTGAGCAATCCTGTCTGTCCGTCCATTGTCATCATGAAAATAAAGGCTTTGCTTACTTGGGAAAACTGAGCAAAACTGGGATCAGCAAACAGGGGGACATGTCCTAGAAGTTCATGGCAAACGTCACTAAAAGAAAAGCAATTCAAATTAATGCTGCAGGAGGGAAATATTATTGGGTTAGAACAAAGAAATAAAGCAAATTTCATCAGACTAAATAAGAGAATAATCCTATGCATGTATCATCATTCCTCCCTGTTTGCTTTCTTTTGTTTTTTGTTTTAAGCTGCAAGGGGAATACAGGGAATTGTATGATTTTTTTTTCGCCTAATTGTCCATAGGCTTGTAGCCCAACTAAATGAACTGAGATCTATACTTGGCTTTCTCCATATATTTTCAAAACTATGTACATGTTGGGAAGATCAGAGCATGTTTTTAAAGCTCCTTCATTTTACAATTTTATCATTGTTATTATATTGTATATGACATTTTATGATATCATAACAGATATACAACTCCATACATTTTAATTTCTGGGGACCCTTGTTGATGAAGGATGGCTTATAAGTGGTAAGAATGAATGAATGAATGAATGAATGAATGAATGAATGAATGAATGAGGAACAGCAGAACCAGCTCAGAGCTAGCAGGTGCCATGAGCCTCTCCAGGAAGCCAGTCACCAAGTGCCATTTAAGGACAGATCCTGTTTCCTGAAAAATCCTAGCAGACAACCACCATTCCTCCTGGGTTCATGATCCTATTGCTGAGTTTGCCCTTTTGCCTCTCTTCATGCTTGCAATGGCCTCTTGGAACACTCTTGTGATGCCACCTTCAAACTTCTCGAGCCTTTCTTAACGATGCTTTAGTACACATAAAAAGCCTGGTACAGCCATGGTGTGTAGCACGTGGCCCAAAAGCAGCATGAGACCCTCTCCAGCAATTTTGCAGCCCTTGACTATGGCCACTGACACCACTACCCCACCAGGAAGAACCCTGCTCTGCATGCAGAAGGTCAACCCCAGCCTCTCCCAGTAGGATTGGAAGAATGCCTGCTTGACACCCCAGAAAGCCATTGCCAGCCAGCGTCAACCATGCTGGGGCGACAAACTGGCCCAGTCCAAGGCAGCTTCCTACATTCCTCTGCAATTCCAGCGATTCTTCTGGAAAACAAGGTGTGTGCCACCTGCTCATTATTTTGTAGCAGAATCGCTGTATTGGCAGCGTTCACTGCAGCCCACCAAACAGTTGTTCCTTTTAGCTCTGAGTGGCACAATTCTACTGGGAAGCAAGGCGCTACTCATGCATCCTGTTTCCCAGCAGACCTGCTGAGATGCTACTGTCCCTGTGGCTGTTTCTGGCCGCTGTGGCAGGGCAGAGACGCAGCCTTCAGAGGAAGCCGTATGAGCCCCAGCCATGCAAAGTTGCATACCTCACGTCCTCTAGCCCACTATATCTGGTCCATACATCTGTACCTGAGATAAGGCAGTTCTTCCACATGCTACTGCCGCCTCCTCCATCTTCTCTCAGATGTCAGATTATTGCCATCGGCCCTCTACTTGTATTCTGTAAAGTGTCGCACTTACGCTACGAGTAGGTCACCAACAAGCCTCCACTCTTCTCTCTGCTGCCCCCATTCTGTGCTTCTGACAGTAATACAAAATACTTACGGTTCTGGTGTGTACATTGGTCTTGATGAGTGGCGAATGTACTGCGTAGAGTGAAATACTCTAAAAGCCAATCCAGCCAAAAAATCCCGAGATGACAAGAGACCAGCCACAGGACGAAGGCGGAATCCTGTGCAGCCTTTAAGGAACAACAAAGCTCCAGGTTACAAACTGGGTAAAATCATGTTTGGATAGATTGATGTTGACCTATGGGCCATTGATGCATTGTGACTGTATGCCCTGAAACAGGGACAGACAGATTTTGTTAATTTTTCTCTATCTGCATTTCATGGACTGGCATCTTCTATTCCATCATTTGTTCATTCATGCAATCTCATTCATTTGCAGATGTGCATTAGTGCTAATGTGCACTTTCAGAAATGCACATTAGTGCTAATGTGCACATGCACAAGTCTACATTCACACAAGACCACCACCAAAAGTAATGGTGATACTACAGTGGATTCTGTGGAATCCACACAACTCTGAAAAAGCCAATCTGCTGCAGAATCTGCAGGCTGGATTCACAGAACCTCAAACTAATTTGATTCCTTTACAAATTTACCTAACATCCTGCTTAGAAGTAAGTCCCACTGGGAGTTCCTTCTAGGGACTCAGAACTGCAATTACCAGCATCCTATTCCTAACACCGTGACAATGATGTTAGACTCTGGCCCTCTCTTTGTAGCTTTTGCTTACTTCTCAAGAAATTTGAGACGTCTTCCAGCTGAGGAATATTGTCTTCTTGGTAGCCACAGTATTTCTCCAGGAGTGGGAAGACATGGTTGTGTTCATAGCAAGCATGAGTGGGGTACAGAGACTTCAGTTCCCTGAAGACTGTCCCCCATGTTTGCTTCTCTTCCTTCGTGTAGGTAACCTTGGGAATAGGCTGCCCACTAGAAAACAAAGGACCTTTTCACATTAGAGTGGAATAAGTTATGACCTCTCTCTTTCATTCCTACAAACACGATCACCAAAAGAGGCAAATCCATTCAGTTTGAATAACTGAAGAGGTGGAGTTGGGTAATTTTAGGATCTGGACTTATTGGTGTAGATAACAACCTTCCCCAAGCTGGTGACCTTGACATGTTTTGAATTATGACTCCCAGAAATCCTGACTGGACTAATGGAAGTTGAAATCCAAACCACCTGGAGGGTATGAGGCTGGGAAGGCTGGTCTACAGTTACTTCTTCTGATGGCCAGGTGCCTTATTTCACTTCCTTCGAAATAGGTTTCAGTTGTGGAACCTGCTCATGGAATGCCCTCCCCTCAGAAACCTGGGCTTATTTTAGCACCAATTCAAGTCCTGGCTCTTTACTCAAGCCTTTTGGGTCTTATTGACCATAGCTCGTCATTTTTTTTATTTATTTATTTTACAAATTTGCTTGCTTCAGCTCTTCCTTACTAACATGGATTGGTTTCATGCTGAACTGTCTTTATTCTTATATCCTGGCTTGAGATCAATTGATGGGTTAGGGTTCACTAGACACAAATGGATTCCTCAGGTGGTCACCATATTCTGGGTCATGATTCAGAGAGCTCCAGATCACTGGAATAACTTGAGCCATGATTCAAATCTATAGTGCCCAGGTGAAGGCCAACAGTAAACACAGGATTTCATTAGCTCAAGAGTTTCTGGCAACCCTGTGAGGTAGAAAATGTAGCTCAGCTTAAACCCTCTCTACACAATTTTTACATGTTTATTTAAAGATGTTCTTGGAACAGTTCACAGTCATAAAACTAAACAACAATGAAATGTAACAAAAAGTACAAAGTATTAAAATAATATAATATTAAGCATTAAAAGCATTGCTAAAATATTCAAAACACTGAAGATCCAGCAGTAACATTATCAATCAAATAGCAGATTAAAGGCGAAATATGACCCTGGGAAGGGCATTCCACAGTTGCAGGACCACTACTGAGATTCTTTTCTCTGGTAGCCCCGCACCATTGTGAATGTCGACACTCAGAGAAGGGCCTCCAATGGTGATGCATCACCATCGGGCAGGACCATAGGGGACAAGATGCTTGTTCCTAACCCATTTGGGGTTTAAAATGCAACTTAGCAAACATAGACAGAAAATAGTGATCAAGAGAACAGAAAATGGCCTTTGAAAGATTGATCTCATCACATGATGGCTGCACATATTCCTTTTGCCCCAAACTTCAGGTTCAGAGGCATCCTCAGCAAAGTTATCTCTGGTAAGCCATTCCTGGGACATTATGGGAACTTTAAATGGCAGCTAAAACTGTTCTTGCTCAGAGTACAAGCCAGAGAAGAGCAGCATCCATGGTGGTGGTGCTTGAGTACTGGGGCCTAGTAGGGCCCTGAGGATGCTGGGTAACAATGCCAACACGTTGTATTCTTGCCACAGGCTTTGGAACAATACAGCCCTCTCCCATAAGACACCTGTTACCAGCCATAAAAATGGGTTAGGGTTAGGGTTAGGGTTAGGGTTAGGGTTAGGGTTGGGGTTAGGGTTAGGGTTGGGGCACACAACACGAGCAGGAACTCCTCTTTCAAACCACGTTAAACTCTAAAGCAGGAAGACCCCTGTCTGCATTCTTATTTCTCTCTAGTGAACAGAGCTGGTATCTCATGGGTTGGAACTGCCCTCTTTTGATACAGCAAAACCTGCAAGCAAACCTACACAGCTGTCAGAGTTGGACACATTGCCCTGCTTTGACTGAATGAAGACATGGCTGCTCATACAACCAAGCACAGCTTCTGCCATAGTGAACCCCTATAGCTCTCTGAAGGAAGGGGAGAGGGTTGCCCAAATCAGATGGAAGTGTGCATGTAATCCTAGACCTATTAATTTTCCCTCACTTCACACTGTCCCGACTGCAAAGCTATGTGCTGGTTACGGTAGTCCTTCCCTAGTGGCTGAAGATGTAACTGCAGGCTTAACTCACATGGACACATTAATTAAACTCAATTAATGTATTTAAAAACAAAATAACCCCGAGATGGGCATCCCTAAAATCACCTTAGTATGCATTCCAAGTTTCACATGCCGAGATTTCGTGGTCTTGGTACAATGTCCCTGACAGATGGTTGAACACACACACTCACACACACACCTGCTTTTATTATTACAAAATTCTCTGGCAGTCACAGTCTAGCGTATTTTTATTATTGTAAAGTTTACAGGCAGTGACTACCTTTCTGTTCTTTGCAGCTTTGAGCATCTGAAGCAGCACTAATCTGACATACAGCCACACAGAACCTGACCATAGGATAAAGAGGATGCCTTGGATAGATTACCCCTTAGATCTCTCCTCGCCCTAAATTTCTGTGACCCTATAAGTCCACTAAGGTAATGGCTCAGTGGGAGTAGCAAATCTGCCTCTACCCTAAATGCAGGTACAGCGCTGTCAGTCTGTCTCAAAAGAGAAGGGGGTCCTTTGACCCCCCCCTTTGTTGCCTTGACATTAAAACTGAGGGAGGTTATTTCCTCAGAAAATAATTCCAAAACTGGACAGGCAACTCCCCTAGGCTTTTCCTTCCCCCACCCCCAATCAAACAGCCTTTTCCAGCAATTTAATAGGGTTTGTGGCACTGCTGGGATAATACGAGGGATTTTCAGCAGGCTCTTTGTTGAAAATATGAGCGATCCCCCCACCATTCCACACCCCCTCAGTTTTTGCCTGAGACCCCCAATAATTGTGCGATTTTCTGTGCCTCTGCACCAGCTCCTCCTTGATCTCTGGAGCTTTAAACGTGATTTTGAATTAGAGGGAGGGGAAAACCTGGACTGCTATGGTTTCTATAGTGCTGACCTTTTCTAATTAATCCTCGGGCCACCTTTGTAGGCCTGGAGAAAAGAGCAGAGGTTTAAGGCACTGTCAGACACCAATCTGAAAGCAGCCGAGATCAATAGACCAGTGCTCAGGGTGGCAGGTGAGAGGGAGAGGGGTGCGAGTGGGGCGGGGGGATGGAAATGAATGACTGAGGGTTTTAAGAAATGGAGCGCATGGGGTGCCATCTGAAATTCCCTGTCCTTCTGCAAGGATTGACCTTGAGAATACTACAGTCTCAACTCCTGTAATACGCCAACTTGCTGTAACACAGGAGCTGCTGCCTTTTCCTTATGGTTCAGATTGGTAGGGATGGACCAAAATGTATCTAAAATGCTACATTTAAAAACAAATTAGAACATTCAACTGTTATGCACTGCCTCTTTATCCCAGCTGTTCTGTTTTCAAGGACTCCAGGACAGAGCACACTGTCCAAACCATTCAATTCCCACTGCAGCTTTTGGGGCTTTTGCCAGGATCACCCTGTAAGTTCCACTGATGAATAGGAACCAGAACCTTAGTTCCAGTTTCCTAACCACTACACTGCACTAGCTCTGCTGCAGTTGTTTGTAGGGCCACTGACCAACGAAACCCCTCAGCAAGATGAAGAAGCCTAGACCTCTTGGCCCATTAACATCTTGCATTACTTTATACTCAACAGCATGCATTATTTTGCAAAGATTTTAATAAATTGAGCACTAACTGAAGAGTTTCAAATGGAAAAAGTAACATGCCAAGGATCTCCACTATCACCACTTCTATTTATCCACAAATTGGAAGTTTTGGCTACAAAAATAAGACAAGACTCAAAAATTAAAGGCTTGAAAGTAGATGGAGAAGAATACAAAATGAAATGTTACTCTGATGGTATGGTGTTGAAGATCTTAATTTCACATCTATCAATGCAATATATAATAGATCAAATTGAAAAATTTTGGATATTTTTCTGGCTATAAAATTAAGAAGATAAAAATTATTTAAAATTGTTAATAAAACAAGAAGAGAAAAATACGTAAAACTATTCAGAATGTGAAATAACTTCTAATCCAATTAATTACCTAGGAATAAACATGACTGCAATAATACATTATTTCAAGACAACTATAAAATAGTGTGGATGAAGATTCAGAAAGATCTACATAGATGATCCAAACTAAAAATGCCATGACTGGGAAGAATTTCCATTATAAAAATGAATGAATTGGATCTTCTATTTCAGATGAAACCAATTTTCATACAAGGAAATACCTTACAAGAATGGCCTAGCCAATTGAACACATTTATTTGGAAATAATAAGGAAAAACACAAGGATTAGATCTAAAGTATTACAAGATGAAAAAGAAAGAGGAGGTCAAGCAGAACCTAATATTAAATAAGATTACCATGCAGCCTGGTTTACAGACTAAACATCCTGATGAAAGATTATTAAAATTGGAAACAACAGAATTAGAAGAAGTATAGCATAATTATTGGTGGGCCAAGAAATGGATAAAAAAAACTGAACACAAAATAAAAGCCATGAAATCAAAGATAGTTTAATAAAAATCTGGTATTCTATAGGAAGAAGTAGCCCTCCAATCTCTCCTTTGATGTCTCCGATAGAAGCATAGATAGAACTTTTTAAAGAATGACTTAGCTAATATATTTACTAACTAGTTATATAAATAGAATACCAGTTAAAGAGTCTTACAATAAATAGAAAGCCAATTATATCTACTGTATTCAACAATTCAGGGAAGAAACATAACCTATAGATAGTATTAAATATTATTTATGCAATGATCAAATTAGTGTAATTGCTCCTTGAATTTAATTTCTTTTTGATTAAGATTTTTTTTATCTGGGAAAAAGAGGGGAAAATCTATTATTAACTTTTGCCGGGTTTGTGGATATAAGATGAATTATTATATACTTGATACCTGTGTCAAAGCAATTTTTATGTAATAATTATTAGTGTTAATTAGGTATTAATTAAACTATTATTTTTAACTAAGTATCATTATGTCAAAATTGTAGTACAGTTTTGGTAGATGTAGTAACTATTATTGATTTTTGTGGTATTTCCTGAATCTAGTATTCTATGTAATTTTGTACAGGATCCCTTGGTAACTTGTTCTTTTCACATCTCTCTCTCTCTCTCTCTCTCTCTCTCTCTCTCTCTCTCTCTCTCTCTCAGTCTCTTTCTCTCTCTCTCTAAAATAAAATAAAATAAAATAATGCCATGTGTTATTTCTTTGTACACACTGTGGGCATAATAAAAAAGCAGAGGAAAGGGCTTCTTACATCAACTTTGAGAGTTCAGGTGTTCATTTTTCAGCTTCCTAAGCCAAAGTACAGATGAGGTTTTCTCTGTGCACACAGCCTCTTCTCTCCTCCCTTTGCACTAATCATGAATAAACCAAAAGGCTCTGACTGCATCCATACTAGGAGATGAACGTGAACAATTTTAGAAAAAGTGGCTTAATATCCTGGTTTGTCTTACTGGTAGCCCAAGCTACCTGGTTCAGGTGAAACAGGAACCTGCATGTAATTGAAGCTTGCCCAGTTTCCTCATACTGAGAAGGGAGGAGTGAAGAGGTTGCTTGCACAGGCAAAGGCTTGTTCATATCGTCATTTATTAAGCTGAGAACTGATCCTCCAAACGTGATCTTCTGCTCTGCAAGCACCTCTGGTGACACCCTTGATCAGGAGTTCCAAAAGAACAGAAGCTGCAGATCCCTCTGCTCCATGAGTCCTACACACTCAATCAAGGTTCTTTCAGTTATTTTCACAGTGGCCCAAATATTTTGTTGCTCGAAGCAAAGGGCAATATAGTTTCCCAATTTTCACAGTCAGAAACTGCCTAGATAGAGAGTTCAGGGATGGCCATGAGACAGCAGCTTCCACTGTCCCTGTGTGATGCACACACAAAGCCCTGTCCTTCAGCAGCTCACAGCTATTTCCTGCCTCCAGAATCTGTTGCATGGGTCACTCTCCCTAAGGATAGAGGCAGCTGTGAAGAAGCAGAGCCTTTGCTATTACAAAACTTGAAACGTACCTTCTGGAGTTGTGCCTCTAACTTGTGAAATGCTTTTGATAATCAGGGCATTTTATGTAGTGAGCAGAAACTCAATTCTAGATGAATGTGTTCCTTCCATTGCTCCTTCTGCTCTCTCTCTCTCTCCGTGTGTGTGTGTGTGTGTTAGGTGGGCAGGGGTGGAGGGATAAACATCCTACTTAAAAAAATGACAATGCAGCTGTGCTGGGAGTGATGGCGTATTAGATCAAGACTACAAATGATGCATGATTTCAAGCTTGTTTACAGCTCTTACTTTAATAAAAATGAACACCCCCTCCTCTTCCCTGTTTAATGTCAGGCATACAAAATGCTATTGTGTTTGGAGCTTGGGGCTTTGTAGTCACCTCTGATATGGCACTGCAATTAAATAACAAAGCTTTGAGACACTGGAGTGCGGTCCCACTCTGAATGCAATTTGTTTCTGGTAAACTGTAATTTTAGGATAAATGCAATCAAAGGAGGATTTAAATGCAGAACTGAAAGAAAGCCAGCAAGGGAAAATAAACACTTTAGAAAGAATTGGTTGGATAAAGAGGGTGCTGGCCCATCTTCTGCGCTGTCCGATGAATTCAGATTTAATGCTATGGGAATGAGCACATACACTCTCACCATGCATCCCGCTGTCCCTTCCAAGGATTGGCCCAATCACTTCTAGTCTTGTGGTAAATCATTCCTGTATTTCTTTTTCAACCATTTAAGTTATAGTGTAAACACTGCTTTTTGTAGAACTGCGCCCAAAGCAGCTAAAACCAAGCCTTTGCTCCATCACAATCCTTCCTGTTCACAGCATCCACCAGGGGTACCCAGCCTTTTGGTACCCCTGAGCACATTTGGGAATTTGAGAAACTGCAGGCATCACCCTAAAATGGCACCCATGGAAGATGTGGCAAGTCACAAAATCAATGCCATGTGGATCTGGTTAGTCAAGAGGCGTGTGTGGGTGGGATGGGGTAGAGGATGGGAAGAAGGGGCAAACTGAAAGATTGTCCCACCCAATCCCCTTCTGTCCACATGGAAGATGTTTCCCCTTTGCTCGATCTCTCTTTCCACTAGGTTTACTGTTTTCTCCCTTCCCCTTCCTTGGCTGTCTTCCTTCTCTCTTGGCCTTGCTCTTTCCTTCCCACCCCTTTAGATTACTTTTACTGTCCCACTTCCCATAGCCTCTCATACAACCCTCACTCAAGTACTGCCACCCATGTTCAGAATCGCTCTCCATCCTCTCCCCCTTCCTCCAGGTCTGTATTTTGCTTCAGCCTAACCCTAACTCATAAATATATCTTGGGGCCAATGCCGGATGTTTGCCCTTCCCAGCCGCACCCTAGCCCCAAATACATAATTTTTGTACCAGTCTCAGGAGAAGAAACCAGACAAATACTGGCAATGCCTTGAGAACTACCCTGCACAGCCATTAAGCACTGCTTTTTAAGCTAGAAAGAATTTCTCCAGTCCAAGACATTTTGCAGCCTAAAAACAATATGACACCCTCTTCCATTTCATGTGCAAGATCTGTCTGGACTATTTCTTCAACACTGGTGTTGGAGCAGAAGCCTCTGTTGACCCTGAGGATGGCAAGCTGGCTTAGTGAGCACAGGGCAGGCCTCAAGGCACCCCACTTTCTCTGCAAGATCCGGCTGCCACTCACCCGCCCATCTGCCACCTGTGGCAACTGTTTCAACTTGCCCAATGGTAGGGCCAGACCTGCCTTTCCATGCCCACGTGCAGCAATAGATGTGAGCTGAGACAGAGTCTCACTCTCAGCATGGTTAACGCAAAGCATCTGGCTGCTTTATGCCACCCAGAGAAACATCTGCATTGTCCAAAGACTGAGCGTATCCCCCGCCCCACACACACACCCAGTTTCATGACAGAGAAAGTACTGCTTTTGGATACATTTTATTCCTTACTGTCTATTGTACACTTACTGTCTGTAGTTGTATGCTATATCTGCAAATTCCTTTCTTCTGGCCCGGTAAACAGGATCTTTGAAACCCTGGAGAAACATCATGAAAAGTACTGCTTTAACTCTATAAGCACTTCAGAACACAAATATGGGTTTAAGAAAAAACGCAATATTTCAGGTTGACTTAACGATGTTCAGACATGCCATTTCAGGTTTCAGGGAGGAGTAGAAAGGCAAAAACATGAGCCCTGAACCCAGGAATATTCAAGTTCAAATTGCAGAAGTAAAGTGTATTAAAGGATAATGTTTTAATACATGATTGAAAAATAACAAAAAACCTTTTAAAAAAAGGATTTCCAGATGCCCTGAAGTTTCACAGTACAATAATACAAGAATACTTGCTGGAAAAAATATTGAAAACTATTTTCAAGCCAGATTTTAACTATTTAAATCCCCACATAAAACAATTCATACAGAACAGAAAATTACCATGACCATCTGTCTGTCTCCTCAAACAATTGACAATCTCTCCTAAACCCCAGGTGCCTGGGGAAGGAAAAGTGTTCCCATCTGTTTATGACAGGGAAGGTCTAATTCAAATGTATTTCACAGCTCGTAGCCACTGCTGAAAAGGCTCTGCTCCTGGTAGATTGGAGGAAATCATTGGTAGAATTTAAAGCCCCAGAGGACTTGTAAAGGAGAAGGGTGATATTGAAACTCTGATGAGATGGGTTTTGAAAGCTCAGAACTTGCATGTGTAGTTGGGCCTAGGAACAAATGGTAACCAATTCAGCTGTGTCAGAGTGTGTTCTTGGTGGCAGCAGACAGATTGCCGCATAACTTTGAGCTAGAACCTGTCATTGTTGCGTAACTCTATAAGACACACCTTATCTAGTATGATGCTAGTTTAGCAGACCAAAGCCAAATAGATGCCCTGGGAAAGATTCAGGTGCCGGATTAGACTAACAAAGGGCTCTGATTTGTCCATGAGGCTAATGCTCTTTGGTGCTGCAGTCAACAAAAACAGTGAGGTGTTTTCAGATGATTTTTTTTTTCATAGCCTACATTTAATTCCAAGCATTGGCTAATTGTCCCCTGGTTGCCTCCAAATATATCCAGAGGAAAAGGATCATTATCTAATTAATACTAGTCCTTGGATCTGGCATGTGTACATCTCTCACTTCAGCGCACTGTTACGTTTTCTGTGGGGGACGACTTTGTCTTATTTTCAGCAACTGCAGTCTTTCATCCCGAGAGTAGCTCGGAGAGGAGCCTTTGATTCACTCATTCTTCAGAGCAATCGGGCTTCCATTTATTCCGCTTCCTTCTAGGACTCTGCCAAATATTGTGTGCCAAATAATTGTACAGGATACGTAGTCCATTTTAGATTACGCTGGCAAGCTAGTGAAAGGCTAATCGCTTTGCCTCAATTAGTGTAATAGCAGTCTTTTAAACAAATTTGCTGCACTGCATGTAATTTACTTACAAGTACTCAGCCTTGGTTAAATTAATAGCAGTAATTCTGGCTGCACTGCATCTCCTGACATTGAAATAAAGTAGCATTTTCTTGTCCTCTATGCATTACAGGATGAAGGGCTCATTCATACAAAGGTTACTTCCAAATCAGGGGCAGCCTCTGAAGGATCTGGGGGGTGGAAGGACTTCTGTTATTGGTAGATCCTTTTCTAGTAAGGGTACCCCCAAAATGAATTATTGTTAGGCTGCCATGATAAACTGATCTTGGCCCAAATATTATATGTTATTCTGCTCCTTTGAGGAGTTTCTATTTCTATTCTATTGCCTCTCCCTTTAGCCTAGCTCTAGAGAAAAATAAAAAAATAAAGGAACACACTTTGGGGTTTTTTTTGCTCAAATCCCAGAGATTCAGAATTTATGAAAAAGCCTGTGAAATGTCTCAAGAACACCAGGGGTCTTGTTTTATCAGAAACCTTCCTAAGAAATACGGGAGATTGATTTAATATACAGTAACAGCAGAGTTACATTTGCAGCAAAATGGAAAGCAGAAGACTGCCCAACCAATGAAGCTTGTAAAAATAAGCTAGCTGAATATGCCATGGTGGCAAAATTAACCAACTATGCAAATAGAAGACCAGTTAAAGAATTTAACAATAAATGAGAAGCTTATTATATATATATTAAGTCATAAAAAGGAAATCTAGCTAATGAATTTCATGATAAATAGAAAGCCTGTTAATTTTTATTTTATTGAAAGAAAAAATGGAATAGTCAGATATTATGAACACATAATGTATACAATGATTAGATTAGAATAATTGTTCTCTGAAATAAGGAAGGGAAGAAGAAGGGGAGAAGGGGAAATGGGTGGAGAATGGAAGAGAGGAGGCAAGAGAGAAAAGATGGGGGAATATTTTTAATTGTAATAGGGTTTATGGATATGATGTTGGATGAATGATAGCTTAATGTTGCCTATGTTAAAGCAACTTTTCATCTGAAATTATTAGTTGCTACTTAACTAATTTAACTTGCATTATGTATAATTATGTGTTATCATGTAAAATTGTAGTTATAAGTTTAGATAATGTAATGATCATTGCTGATCCTTTGTGAAATTTCCTGCCTTGGGTTTTATAAGCAATTTGTGTACAAGATCCCGTGATAACTTTTTCTTTTGCTCATTTTATGTTTTTCTTTCTGTTTCTTTTTGTTTATAAAAATAAAAAGAACAGCAGGGGTATCTTAGCAACCACATTGTCTTCCTTGTGGTTCCAAAAGTTTTAGTTATTAATTGAATGTGTTTTAATACAATATAGCCACAAGGCAGAGAGTGGGGAAGAAGCCACCCAATGACACAGCATTTCAAATACAAACCATTAAAGGCAATCTAACTCACCTAGTTACATGTTACCTGCTTGACCAGAATCCTGGGTTTCAGTGCACATCCAAAGTTCTTTGTAAGAGAAATGGTGTCAGGAAGAATATCTTGGCAAACTTACCATAAGATTACAGGGAGACCCAATAGAGCAAAGTCTCCTGAATTTACGGGAATCTAAGATCAGAAATTCTTCTCTATAAAGAAATAATCTACATTTCTGAAAGCAGTGGTCTAGTTAGCCAATCGGAAAATGATATGGAGGCTAGATCCATATTTTTAATTTCCGGATATAAGCACCATTATGAAAAGGAACTCAAAATATGGACACTTTTTCAGAGACAAAGATGGTGTCTTCATCATAGGATTTCAAAATCTCAGACAATCCATATGGCACTATTGAGCTACCTCAAAATTAAAGATACTTCACACATACTTTTATGTGAAACTAATACCCTTTAGGAGACCTTCAAGCTCTCCCCCTTTCTCATAAACTCATAAACTCTGGAGCTGAAACATTTCCAAAGGAAAGGTGTTGATCGCATGTCTGTATATTCCCCAAACATGAAAAAGAACAATCCCTGCATTACATCCTGTATTTTGAAGGAAACCAGTTCAAAACAATGAATCATGGAACACATCTTGGAAATCTTCATTCAGTGTTTTTATGATTTACATTTTCATTTTGAAATTCTTTGTGCCCATGAGACTATATTTTTAAATATATATTTTAAACATATTTTAATACTATTGAAATATATTAATATCTTTTTTAAAAAAATGAAAACTGAAAGTCTAATTTGGGTGAGTGGGTTAAAAACAGAGGGAGAGGTTAATTTTTTTTTCTTTTTTTCCTTACAGGATGATCGGCATCCAGTTCTGCTCCATAGCTGAGAATCTGGTTGGCAAATCTGTCCAGTTCTTGAATAGTTCTTGGGAACCATGGTACTACAGCCACAAAAGAAACACAAATTGCATTTAGCTTCTTACTTCATAAGAGGTAAAGAGTACGGGATTGTAAGTCTTACTTAGAGTAGATCCGCTGAAACGGAAGGGACCTAAGGTAGACTAACACAGGATGTAATCCACAAAGTTTAATTCTACTCATTTGGTCAGCAGTTGCTTGACATTACCTGTTTACCATGAAACAAAAGTAGGTAAGAAGGAAGGAGTGAAATTGTGTGAAAGACCTAAATGCTTATCTTCATGACTTATTTGAAGAATCTTGGTGGCTATTGATAGGCCTTTGCCATACAAGGTCCTCAGTGAGGAATATATTCCACTTACACATTTGTCTTTATCCCTTTGTATTCCCCTTCCACAGAAATCACATGAAGATCACTTTTAAAAAGTTCTGCAAAACTAGAGCCACTTCCTGGGATGGAGATACACTTAAAAGGTCAGAGACAATGAGCTGAAAACCACATCTCTCTATACAAGGTTGTGACCTCAGTGGTTTTAAAGGATGCCTTGTTGACCCCCTCTTCTGCTTTCAAATAAAAAAGGCCGATAAAACAAGTTGTTAATGTGATTCTATGGCAGGGGCGGCCAGACTTGCTCAATGGAAGAGTTACAAGCAGGTTTACATGGGCAGTGGCAGCCGGTGGTGAGTGGGCACCCTGGGTTGGTGTTGGAGAGCCAGAAAAACCCCTCAAAGAGCCACATGAGGCTTCCAAGCTTTGGTTTGGCCACCCCTGTTCTGTAGTATTATCAGAAATGTTCTACATGCCAACAGGCATGGTCCTCAGTTAGCACGATGCACTTAAAAATTACCAAGCACTTATGCAGATGAGCATGCAATCTTCTGTGTTCCTACCCAAAAGGAAGTTTCACGGAGTTGAATAGGGCTTACTCCAAGGTAAGTGAAGAAAGGGCTCCAGCCTATAAATATACATTTACATGGAAGTAGGTGCACCAGCCTAATGAGAGCTCTCAAGAAACACAATCAGGATTCTGCTGCACAGGGTATATGCAGATAAGGGCACTGAACTATAATCCAAGACTTCACGTTACTGATGCATTAATATGGTGCCACTTTTGCACTTAATACATATCTACTGCTATCTGCAATGTAACAGGCAAAAAATAAACCAGCAAAGCTTTACAACCACCACCCCATTCAATCATCGTAATACTATTATACTACTGACCACTTTTACAACAAATAAATAAAGATGTAGGTTCTACACCTGGAGAACACCGGGAGTTGTCGGATATCTTTCCCCGCTGTTTAAACATGCATGCAATTCTGTCCTTAACATTCGTCAGTCTTTATGAAGCCATAGGGTATCTTGGAATACAACTCCCATCATCCCCAGCAGCATAGTCATACTGGCTGGGAATGGTGACAATCGCAATCTGACATAACTGGGCAGCTCCAGGCTGCGGGAGGTTGAGCTAGGCTAGCCCACCGGAACAAAGCATTGAGGCAGCAAGCACGCATACTGTCTTGCCTTGGTGTGCTGAATTTCTTCTTCAGTGCCTCCGCTCAAAAGAAAGTTGCAGGTCATATGGCCAACCCCCTCCCAAAACGGTGCTGAAAATGTGCGTTTGTCTTTACAAATGTGGGAAATATCCGTAATTTCATCACTAGAGGGCAGTAGCAGCAGCAGCAAAATCTTTGTGAACCTACAGCTTTATTTATTTCTGGGACTTGACCTTAGCAGGGTGAATTCTTGGGAACAGTAAGTGAGTCCCAAAGACCCATGACTACATAATAAATACAAGCCCCGCAAAATTCCATCCATACAGGTCCCTCTGAAATCGGATCCAGTGAGAAACAGCAACCCAAACCAAACGTTGTTAAATTGCTACAGTAATTCCAGGAGAAATGGTTGTATGAATAGACTCTGTGCTGACAAACACAAGTTTGTATGTGTACATGCACACACCTCTTTGTTTTGCTGATCCTTCAGCACGTTTACTTGGGAACAAGTCCCACTGAACTGAATGAGTTTTGCTGAGGTCATGCACAGGAGGACATGTACAGAATTGCACTTGGAATCGTTGATATTTCCCCTCTCCCTGCACACAGCACCCAAATATGGCACAGGATGCCTGTAAACCTGTTCATTTGATTTGTACATCTTCTTCTTGCCAGGCACGTTTCTTTATTTCTCTGAGAAAATGGTGAATCAAAACACAAACCATCATGTTGCAAGCTAGGGCTCCAAAATGATGGGAGCCATTTTGACTGAGCCCTGGGAAAGGAGCAGGCTATTTTGAAAGAGCAGATTTAATCAAAGCTGCATGCAGATGTCCTTCTACTTATATGGAAAGGGAGGAGGGTGATATGATGGTGCTGCTGCCATGTGCTTTATCTTCTTGCATTGGTCAGAAAGGAACATGAGAATACTAGGTTGCACAGCCAGGGACTAGGACAGCGTTCTCCATCCTGGTACCTTCTTGATGCAAGTCCCATTATTCCAGCCAGCATGCCCCCCGGATGTGTTTGATTCCCATCCTTCTCCCAGCTGGTGTTTCCATTTGCGTCAGATTGCAACCCCCGTCATTCCCAGTGGCCATGCTGGGTCAAGATGATGAAAGATGCTGCTCCAAACATTGAGAGTGCACCAGCTTGGAAAAATAGGTCTGGATCTGGACGATACCTAAATGGGGGACCGCCTACAGAGTATAAGGCAGATTCTTGTGTTTTCAGTCAAACCACTGTGTGGTTCCAGTGTTGTCAGCATTATTTGGTAGTGACTCTTGAGGGTTTCAGGCAGAAATTTTTCCAGCCCTGCTTGGAGCTGCTGAAGATCAGACTTGGAACCTTCTTCATTCAAAGCATGTGAAGAGCTGTATATAAGAACTCCATATAAACCACTTTAATTCCCATGATGGAAGGAACTTAGGATATAAAAGTACTAAATAAATAGGCACCTACCTGCACAGACATGAATATGTGACCTGCGTACCTGTTTTCCTGGGGTATTCATGTGTCATTTCTGTCTCCCTGTGTAAGCCCCTTTGCACCCACTGTAACAAACGCACGGGTGCCTCCCACCCATCTTAGCCAGCAACTGGGTGGTGCATGCTGCCCTGTGCTCACGGTCATCAGGACTAGAAGCTCCTGGCAGCTTTATTCTCTATGATCAAGTACCCCTTCAAACCCAAAAGCTATCTCAACAAGTGGCCATCATTGCTTGGAAGTAAATTCCATAGTTGAGCTATGCACTGTGTGACAAAGTATTCTCTATTCTTTATTCAATTTATAACTTGCCCTTCCTCACTGGGAGCACAGGACAGCTAACAACCTATGTAAGACACACAAACACATGAAACCATGCCTCTCAACTTACAAATAGAATAAATAGAATAAAAGCTAAAACACTAAAACAAAGGACTTGCTTACACCTGCAACACCTGTACAGATACATCTGCCTTTACCTGGCATCAAAATTACAGTGTTGTAGAAAAGGGGATTCCCACAGCTAGGCAGCATATGGGTCTAGTATATGTGGTAGCCTCACAAGGGTCTAGCATATGTGGTAGCCTCACAAGCCACATTCTTGAAGGACAGTCATAAGTGCTTCCCAGGCCAAGTAGCCTCAGTCTATCTCAACAGCTCTTTCCTGTTCCCTTCTCTATGGAGATTTCTTATTGTAAGTTTGGCATGCAGAGAGAATGAAACGTGCAGCTCTGAATTCTACGCCTGGGGCTTCCATACTGTTATGTGGTCCATCTGTGCAATCAAATGAGACTAGCTCATAGTGAAAGTGAATAGATAAGGTGCTGACCTTTCTGAAACGGGCTTGCAATGGACAGGAAACAGAAAAATACTGCAGGTTCAATCAACAAAATTGTCCTGGCGGTGATATAAATACTTGAAGCCATCTTATTGGCACTCAGACCACTGGTCTGTCTTGGCCGCTGCTGATCATCATATTCACAGCAGCTCTCTTGAGGCCCTCGGATGGAGACTGGGGGGCTCTCCCAGCTTTGCCGCCTGGTGCTATTGTCCATAGGCAATTGTGGAACCAACTGCCTAGGCAAGTAGACAAGGATTGGGCTCTTCACTGCTGGAGGGATTCAGGCGAGGACTGAAGAGCCATCTGTCGGGGGCACTTTACCCTGAATTCCTGCTCAGGGCAGGGGGCTGGACTTGATGGCCTAAATCACCCTTTCTAACTGCAGTTCTATGGTCTTTTAAAAGCAGGAATGGACACTAGATTGAACCCATCTGTGCCCTTCCATGCACAAAGCACAAGGTCTCCCACCTGATCCAGGGCACTTCCCTTGCTCAGAGTAATTCCTGAGTGCCTCATTCACTGCAGAATTCACTGCTACAAGACAGGATGATGACCAGTCACTAGCACAGGATTTTGCATTTGTAAGTTCTGGTCCAAGTCATTCATAGACAATAATTCTATTCGACGGCCATTAAAGATATCATAGCAACTATATCTATAGCCATTGGATATATTCCTTTTTATTTCCCAGGCCATTCATGTATAATTTTAATCTTCCGTGGCAATGTTTTTATATTTTCATTGTCCCTGTCTGCATTGTTTTTTTTGTTTTGAGTACCAGCTGCTGTAAAATGATATTACTGGAGTATGTGTGTACACAGGTGTGAAAATGTACATACTCATGTATACCTACATACACACACAGCATAATTTTGTGCATGTCTACTTAGATGTACACCCCACCAGTTCCACACAACTCATTTCCATGTGAGCCTGGGACTACAATCCAAATCATGGAACCTCCATGTGCAGAAGCTGTGGGCCACTGGAGGATGCCAGATATTGGGAAATGGGGAGGCTGGATAGCACCTTCCTTACAAGGTCCTAGGGACTTCCAGATGCCAGAACAGCATGTTGGATTAGACAGACCTGGGTCTGATTCTGCAATGAAAAAGCTAGAAAGGCAATGTGGCCTTCACTGCTCACCTTTCTCCAGACTCAGGAGCAATGCTATGAAGAGTAATCATCAGCAATGCTCCAAACAAGACTAAACTCGATAGATAGATGATAGATAGATAGATAGATTTCTTATATATAATCTAATTACTTCTTCCTTTAAATATGGTGATGCTTGGGCCCTCGGATGTGCTTCCTTCTGCCCCTGTTTGCCAGACACTCTGTCTCTTCTTGCTGCTGTTAATGAATGGCCACAGCAAGCTGTCGCAACACTGACCCTTCTGAGCAGCTCTGCAGGGCACGCAGGCTGATCAGTAATAAATATTGATTTGTCGGCAGGAGGAACAGCAGCATTTTATGGCCCTGCTGGGGACACCCAAGTGGTGACCAATTTAAGAAGGGGTCAAATGCTTAATAGGATGCTAATCAGCTCTTTATACAAGCAAGCAACAACACTAAGGGCTTCCGAAGTGCTACACAACTCTGACCAAGCCGAAGACAGAAAATTTATTGCCATTTCTAGGCACAGGTTGGTGCCTTTTTAAGCATAGCCAACTGCTCTGGTCAGCCCCGGGGTTGCTGCAAACAAGGCTGCTTCAGACCCTCAGCCTGCAGCTTGTCTCCAAATGGCAATAAATTGTCTCTGTTTCCTTGCTGAAGCAAAATCATATTTAATTCTTTTATTTAGGGCTCCAAGAGGTCTCCTGCTAAACTTGTGCTCCACATTTTAAAGAAGGCTTGTGAAAGAAGGACACTGTTTTCATGACACAAGAAGAGCCGTGCTGGATTGCACCAAAGGTCCAGCACTTATGGCATTGTACCCCATCCATCACCCTTAGCTGTTCGCCACATCAAGACATTCCAGTCTATACATTTATCTTACCCTAGGTCCATTTCCTCTTTTTCTCTGTCCCCCTCTCTCCTAGGTCAGCACATGCAGCCATTTAAATATAGGACGAATCTTGGCTCAGACTAGTATTTTATAGAAAAATATTGGGGAATTCATGGTTGGGTGGGCCCAAACTTAATAGTTAAAATGACGATGCTCATTAGATTGGAATGGTGGGGGGCAGTGTTTGTGTGTTTTTGCTTTAAATAGTACATGCAAAAATTACAGTAAGGAAAATGACATCCCTCCAGGAATCTGTCAACCAGCTCAACTTTTTCATATTGATTTATGATGAGGTTGGCTTTACCTGTAGGAACTTCACAATGTACTAAATTATTTTGTAAATCAATCCTACCCCCCACCAACATCCTTGCCCTGACATATTGCTTCAAAATGAACCACTGATCTCAATGGGTTTTATGGGCAAATCAATACACATAAGATGCTCCAAAGTGACCATGAAGTGGAACTCTTTTTTTCTTGGTGGTGGGAGAGAAATTATAACTAAGAAAGAGGGATCAAGATATCCCCCTAACAACAAAAAGCAATTAAACTTCCAATTGTAGGTGACCGTGGTTCCCTGCCAAGCCGTCACTTTTGCCTGTCATGTCCCCTTTCCTGAATGGAAGAGCGGTCCAATTCCTCCAAATATTTCTCCTTTTCCCTTTGCAATGGCATGGATAGGACACAAAGGAGAAGGTAAGGAGATTATCAGGATTCATTTCAGAAGATATTATTGGCCTTTCATGTTGCTCCCAGGAAGAAAGAAGAGACAGCAGACCTAAAGCATTTAAAGCCAACCTCAACCAAAATCCTATTACAATCACATCTGCTCTCCAAAGAGCCATGAAAGTATTCATAAGACTTGGATGGGTCTATATCTGCGTCTGAAACAGAGATGATTGAGCACTGAGCGGTAAAACTGGCACTTGTGGAATATTGCATTGGTAAGGATCAGCTCTTTGGAAGAGTGCCTACCCTTGCACGGAGTTTGTGCATTTATCCTAAACCATGCCTAAGAAATTCTTAATTAATGCACTCTGCACATGAAACGGTGCTCTGATATGGCCGGGTTCATGCTGAGGGCATCTTTTGTTACTGACTTCCCCCATTTTGAATAAGAAGATAGCTTCCAGAGTTACTTGGTCTGGACGTATATCATGTTCTGTTGAGTATCTCATGATATTCAACTGTTTGGTTCAGAGATTGTGGGGGGGGGGGGGGGGTTAGGCCCCAAAAGGGGGCCAAAAGGAAAAACGGGCCCAATTCCCCCCAGCGGGGGGGGGGAAGGCGGGGGGGGGGGGGTCTGGCCTTGCTGGGATCTCCATCTGGTGTACTAAAATATGCTTCGCCGGAGGACCACCCCCACATTGCCTGACCCCGCCTCCTTTCCCCCATCACTCCTCATCTGTTGACTCCCAGGGTCTGTACAATTGCTCCCCCACCCCATTCTAAAAGGCATCAGCAGATGGCTAAGATTATAATGGCAGTTCATGCCATGTAATGTATATTTAATGTATTTTTCCACTAATAAATACTTTTGCATGAATTTTACCTTACAAAATGCATTGTAGGACACATTTACTCTAAAATACAACAAAGATCCCTTTATCTGCTGGAGCAACATTATCTACCATGGAGCACCTTTCACTTAGTAGGGGTTAGCCTTGGTCCAAAAGAGAAGTTGAAAAGTGCCTTGAATGCCAAAGAGACGTCATATAGTGCTTCCTTTCAGTGCAAAATTTTGATTTATTAGGGGAAGAAAATAAATTGTATGCTGAGGTTGCTAGGATATATGGTAAGAACAAATCTATCCATTAAATAGTGAAAAAGGAAATGTACATGTACAGTATAGAGTACATATAGTTCACTATTATCTGCAGTTTCAGGAATCTGCTGAAACCTATCCCTGTAGATAGTGGAGTCCTGCTGTACACACTTCGGTACATTGAAATTGCTGGAAATTGCATTGCAAAAGCCAGAGAGACATGAAAATGGAAATATAGCTACACTGCGAGCTGTTTTCTGAGAACTGCAAGTCAGGATGGTTGGTTGGCGTGAAATAACCAGATGAAATCCATACTTACCCCAGTGTGGCACAGGTGCTCTCACCAAAACAGTAACCGCAGCATAAAGCCCTATGACACTTGGTGGGAATACCGTTACTCTGAACAACATCTGTCTTACCAGCATCCTTCCTCTTTTCACGTGAAAGCTCATGAACATTTGCTCCAATCTCATCTCTCAATTTCCTGATAATGTCTTCCAGGGCAGGAATGTTCTTGCTTTCCAGGTTGATGAAAAATTCATACTCGTCCTTGTTCAGTCGGGAAGGTCTGGATTCAATGTGGGTCAAATTTATTCCCTTTCCCTAAAAGAATGAGAGCAGCATGGCAAACAGGACGCTACTTTTGTGTTGACTTAGAAAGTGGCTAAAATTTTATCTGCTCATGTCCTCTGCCTTATTCTGTATTCAGACCTGTAGACAAAGAACTTTTGCTTATAAAATTAATATTCTTGTGGTTTGTGTAAAAACTTTCATATTTAAAGCTATGGAAATCATAGACAAGACAACTTGAACAATTTACAAGAGACTGCAGCTGCCCCACTACATAATCTTGGGGAGTTATACACCTCAAAAGGAGGCGCTTGATCTCTAGATTGTCTTTAAAGGGCAAGGGATCTTAATGCACAAGGGCAAGGGTTTTAATGCACATGGCCAGAGAGAACAAGCCCTGGTTTTGCATTCACACAAACATACACCATCCTTAGAAAGGAAAGGAAAGTTCATTAGTTAGAAAAACGCAGAGCAGGCACAAGCTTTTAACCCAATGTTTCCTGGATATTCCTGTTGCATCTATATTTCTAAAGAGATAAAGAACACCCTGCCAGAGAGAGGGAGGGAGGGAGGGAGGATGGGGGTCCATTACATGTCCTGCACGGTGGACTCCCAACAGCGGCCTTATGTGTGGGTAGGAAGGGTGCAAGGCATCCACAGCTAGGCGGGGGTGGGGTGGGGGGCAGACCTGTTTTTGGAGCTTGCCTCCCTCTTCCGGCTGTGTGCAGAGCATGTCTTTGTTTGTGCTCAGAGTCTGCATGTACAGCTTGCATGTCCAGAGACTGTGTGTTCGGAGTGTGTGTGATTCTTTTCCAGGTCCCTGATTCTTCTGTGATTTCTCTCTAAACATGTGTCCATGGGAAAGATGAGTTTCCCAGACTTATTGCTGGAAGGGTGCTCACTTGCTTCCCAATGACCTGAACTGTTGTTTCTTTGGGTAAGAGACAAGTTCTTTTTCTATGTCTGCTAGGTGGCGTGGATGATGTAATTTCAGTGTGCCTCAGGACAATGGGTCATCTTCTTTGCAGGGTTGTTTTGCCTAATTCACTTTAAGGGCAAAAAGACTGCCCTTTTCCAGTATTCACCCTTCTCTCACACAGGCTAGCCCAGGATATTAGGTCCTTCTTGCTGAATTCAAGCCTACCTGACATGGCCTGTGGCCTGAAAACCCCTCCTGGCCTGGGAGCTTATGGCTATGGTGCTCATATTGATACATGCATGGGTCACATAGCCCTGCATGCGTCATTCTACAAAGGAGAGAACGGACATCCATCTGAGGCAGTGGAAGCACTAGAGTGGTCGTCCTGGATACCTCACCCTTTCCTTCCACCCAGCATCTCTGACAGAAGTCAACAAATACTGATCATGATGGCTATATCTGACTGCAGACTCTTACTACAAGAGGGATTTATTGTGCACTAGAAGTCTTAATGCATGGCTGTTTATGAGTTCCTTAGAGGCTGATGTGACCCTCTATTTTCACTTCTGTTTTTCAAGAACACTTTCCCAGTGTGTTTTGTGAGGGTTTTTTAAAGAGAGGGAAATGGAATATTATTTCCAAAAGGGAGTAAAATGCATTTCCCGCTTAACTGCAGGAAATATTAACTTCAATATTCAGCAACTGCACAGCACCACCTAGAAGTTAAGCGGTGGAAAAGCTCTTTCTAGCAACAGAGCTTGGATCCCAATTCTGACATGAAACCAAAAGTAGATAGAGGGGATTACCAACCTCTTATAGAAGGGCAGTTTCTACGATGTGTGCTTCCTAAATCCGTCTGGTTTGCTACTGTGGAGATCAGGAGGCTACTAAGGATAATTTATTCATGCATTCATTCCTGCTGTATTCTCTGCCTTTCTTAAGGAGTTCTTAGCCAAATTCTATTTCAGAGGGGCGCATTCCAGTGATGGATGGGGGTGAAGGCAATCAGGGTATGGCAAAAACTACCCGAAATGCCAGCATATTGCAGCTTAAAGCCCTCGTGCCGGGAGCCAAACCTTAGGCGAGGAAAGCCAACCTTTCAGAATAGAGGGAAAAAGCTGGGAAACCACTGAATGATTGGCTGTTGGTGGGCAGGGGTCATAGCTCTCTGGGACCTCAAGTGGGCAGGATTTGGCTAATTGGCCTGCAGTTTTGCACCCCCACTGCAAAGAACTAAGTGCACTTGGGTAGTTGCTTGGAATAACAGCATTCCACTGAGGTTTTTCTAAAGAGGTGGCAGTGGCCATGTTGAAAAGAATAATCACAGCAAATGCTTTTTTTGCAATTGAATCTTGAATCTATTCAAGAGCAGGAGAGACTCTTCCCATTAAGCACAGAGAACGCTGAGATGATCCCCTGCTAATAGGCTGGATGTGCACTTTCCTAACTTCTTCACCATGGGTGCTGTGGACAAACTTAAATTGTTTGGCCAGATACCAACACAATACTTTGAAAAGGTCAGAAGTGCATTGAAATCCTGTGGCTCAGGAAAGATGTTCTTCTAATTGAGGCAGCCTCCATGTAAAGAATGCATTTAACTAGGCTGAGCCCTAAGGTCAAGTTGTTTTAGTTCTCTAAAAGTCTGCATCACACACAGACAATGCTTTGTATGTGCTATTTAATTAGGTGCCTACAAATCACTGGAGGACTCCAGAGTTAGAAGCTAAAAATTACTCCAAGCAAGATTTATTGTGATGGAGACCAGAGCCAGCATGTCACCGTCTGTTCTCAGGGAGGGGTCCTCCATGGTGCCACCACTGGGACTGAGATTTTTGATTTATATTGGAGATTTATTTGACCTCACTGTGAGAACACACTCAAATATTCCACTTAGTCAATCAAATTTAACCTCAGAAGAGCAGGCAGAATCTTGTAGAGCCAGTTCTGAACACCAGCAATCCACTGTTGTCCTTAAGTATAGATTAAAAGCAAAGAACTCTGTACCTGAGCCTCTGCCATGGGATGGAAAGGGGGTGAAAGTCTGGATGACTCCTTTTGAGCACTGCACCAGTGAGACAATAATTTGGGGTTCCCAGAAAGGGACAGATGACTGACGAGGCCATGGTCATGGTTATAGAGCAGGGGGTCAGTGGATGGAGTGGGGGCAGTGACAGTGTAGTGGGCACTCTCACAACATGGTTGCCATGGGAGAGCGTACCCATCCATAAAATGGTTGTCATGCTTGGCATGGCGATCAATGGAAATCTGCGCATGCTCATTTTATGCAAACCTCTGCTCTGTTTGTGCTACTTCTCCTCTTTTTTGGCAAGATGTAAATGGCCAGAGTAAGACCTACTGAACAATTTGGGACCTTATTCCACGTAGACATATAGAGGATTGTGCTGCAAAAATTGCTGTGGGGCTTCTTTATTTTATTGGCGTGTTTCAAGCCAAACTTTTGTGACATCGTCCGTTTTATAGGCTGTTGGAATGCATCCAAATGAACTGTGTGTTACCATGAAGTTCACCAATGAAGAATATGGAGCAGGGGGTCAGACTAGTTGGCCCGGGAGGCTCCTTCTGACTTGCTCTGTTTCTATGTTTCTATATAGCAGTTTAGAAAAACTAGAGGAGCTTCTGAATCCTAATTCAGTATTCATCCTCCACCTCATGTCTTAATACTAAAATTGCCACTAATTGCAAATAATTGCATTGCTGAGTTCTTCAAATTTAAATATCAGTCAGTATCTGCAGCCCAGAGAGTCCAACATAGTGATGGGTTTAAATGCCATGAAAAGCAACCCTGAGTGGTCTCCATCATGCACATGTATGTGCCTGACAAGAGGCTTCTGCGATTGCATGGTCTCCACCCTTCCCATTCAGCCATCCTGCTGTTGGTTCATCTTCCATCAGGCACCATTCCTGAAATTAATCTTAGGCTGGATGGCTGGAGTCGCTCCTACAGTTGTTGCTCCTTCCAGGGGACTCTGTAGCAGCTGTATGCCAAGACTGTGGAAACCACAGTGGTGGGTTTGCACAACTGGAGAAACCACGGGGAAGCATGGAAACCATAGATCAAATTTGTTTCTTGCTGTGGTTTCTAAAAACTAAACGGGTCACCCTGCCATGCTACAACAGGATGTGGATGAGATGGCAGAGCATCCCGCTCAAGAAAACCTCCATGGCAAGGCATGTCGTGCCATGTGAACCTGCCCATTGCCTTCCGAGCAAACTTAGCTTTTGCCTTTCCATCCACTGAGCTCTCTCAGCAGCAGCATCTGTGGCTTGGGCCAGAAGCAGCGGTGCCCGACAGCTTTGCTAATGTGCATTAGAGAAGTTAAATAAATTAAATAGTGCCTCACCAATTCGCAGTTCTTCCCAGGATGCACAGCCCACTCACCCAGGACTTTTACATCATCACAATGGTTACAATCAAGTCTTTCATCTTAGGGGTGGACAAACTCTCTAGGAATCAACAGCTCTCCCCATACTCATTTATTACAGTTGCTGCCTGACTAGCTTTTGGTTTTTTTCAGTCCCCAGCACTATAATCTTTCAGATGAGCTAACATACATGCAAATAAGAAATTGAAATGTGCCCTCAGTTCCACAAACCAGTGAACCACAGCGCATTGCATAACGGCGGAATTACGGATTTCTAGTTATAGGAATGCATTTATATCTAAATGCATCTCTGTACCTAAGACTGAACACCTGCACATTTGATGCAGATCTGTGCTCTTTCCCTGTGCTGATTTTCCTCTGTTTGGCAATGCGTAAGAAGTTGCCTTTGCAGAAGTGCCACAGGTGAATGAGCAGCCACGCAGCCCTGTGTGCCATTCTCTGACACCCAGATTTCTGCCAGTGCAAACAGCCTTGGAGTTTTGGAGGCAACTTAGTGGCAGAGTGAGCACTTGGCATGCAGATGGCTCCAGGTCTGGTCTCCAGTGCCTCCAGCTGGGATTTGGGAAGCCCTCAATATGAAAACTAGGGAAGTTACTGCCAGTGTAGAGGAAACTGGGCAGTGTGGACTAGCAGCTTCAGGCAGCTCCCTATATTCTGAAACTACAGCTCTGTGCATTCTGTGCCAGAAGCCCATACCCTCTGATCTGTGAGTAAGCCCCACTGAATTCAATGGCACGTACTCCTGAGTAGACAGATTATAGAATTGGATTCCTACCCAGATTTAGCAATTGCAGTATAAACCAAGCTTGGGGCTGGGATTTGTTTCTCCACACAGTAACTTGTCAATGAACGAAATCCGATTGTTAGCACATACCATTAGCACCAAAATTTATTGCCAGGTGCTGGTAGGCTTTGATAAGTAGGATCTTTGGGTTTCTCGAGTCAACAGCTCTCTAGTTTTTCTCATCTGGAATGTGTAGCTACTGAAATGCAAGAGGCTGCTACAAAGCCCCATCAGCAACATCTGGGCATTGCCTTTGATATTAAAAGGGTTTGTTCCACACCTGGGAGTACCACTTCATTGCTTTTTCTGGGAAACTGAGTGCAATAGCAGCTGGACAGAGATCAGACTGACATCAGCATCTGCACATTCCTAATGCTGTTCCCATAGTGCCCACATTTGGATGTAGTGATGTCTGTTGAATTCAGTTTCCAAATCATCCAAGCATGCCCTGTTTGTAATTCCAAACACAATTGGGAACACATCTTTTCAAAAAAAAATTGCATGTTCCCAAACTTGCAAGGGGAAAAGTGCACTTTGAAATGCAGGTGTTCTTTTTAGTGCCCTTTTCTGCTTTGTCAATAGGGAAAAATGCACTTTTAAAAAAATGCATTCAGAAATGCAGATTTTCCATTTTGAGATGCACATATTTCTTATAGGAATGAACAAGAAAAGTTGCTGCAAGCAAAAACAGGACTGAGTCAAATCCAGCTCTGAAGTGAAGCTTGGAGAATTTTGGCACATTCAAATATATTTTCTGTAGCTGCAGTGTTGAAGCTGAATTCTATTTCAGAGAAGCTCTTGAAGGCTGCATTCCAGTAGTGGATGGGCCAAAATACCCAAAACAAAACAAAACAAAACAAAACAAGCCTATCATGTTTGAGTTTAAAGGTCTGGCTGTAAAGAACTAAACTGTAGGGGAGGCAAAGTCCTCATATTCAAATGTGAGGGAAAAAAACTCCATAAAGGCCAGGAAACCATCTGAAGATTGGTAGCCAGAGATATGGCTAGCTAGGGAACTATAGACTGGGACTTCAGATTTGAAGCTCACAGCCTTTCTTTAGGCCCTCACATGCGTCCCAGAGATGATGGAGTGCCAGTTGGTGGGAAGAGAATGGGCCAGACTGTGACCACGACTACAGTCTGAGAGACAACAATTCAATTATTTCCTTTTAAGTCTGCCTTATTTCTTTATTACATTTTTCTATTGTCTCATAGCCCATTAGATTCTCTAGGCAGTTTACAAATTTAAAACATCTAACAACAATAAAAAAATCACATTTAAGTGAACAAAAACAATAAACCAGTATAACAATAAAGATCAACAACCTACAGCACTTAAATTAATACATGGAATAACGGCAGATGAAAAAAGAATTAAAACAGATCTTCTTCATTATAATATCAGAAAAATAAAGTTTTCAGCTGGTGCCAAAAAGAAAACAAAGATGGCACCAGTCAGTTCTTCTTGGAGAACATGTTTCAGAGATGGGTTTCAATTGCTGAGAAGGCCCTTCTCCTAGTTATCCACCCCACCCCCCTCTTTGCTTCTTTTGGGATGGTTCCCTGAGAAAGACCTCCACTGATGATCTTAGGGTCCAAGTAAGAACATATGGAACAAGGTGCTCCTTCAGACAACCTGGCCTCAAGCCATTCGGTGCTAGCAAAATGTGCTAACAATTGGATTTCATTCATTGACAAATTATTGTGTGGAGAAACAGGCACCTTCACTTGGGCCTGGACTTTGACTGGAAGCCAGTGCAGCTGAAAGAGGACCAGGATGATACAGTCCCGTGAGCCAGTCCTCACTAATAGCCCTGCTCTGAATCATTTGGAGTTTCTGGACCATTTGCCATGATTGCTGCCATGACTGACTTCATCATGTTGGCCTGCACTGAAATGAAAACTGTCACTGAGTATAAATTAAAAGACATTTTACATCCTGCTGAATTTAAATGTTCCTTTGAAGCTTGAGTTGGGCAGCTATGCAGTTGAGCCCTTAGCATTCTATACACTATCCAAATATAAATTCCTGGTTAAAATGCCAGATATCGCCTGCTGTTTAAAGTATGTGTGCATTTCTTATGTCAGAGCAGTGGATGGTTAATTTTTAGCATATTCCAAGCGATTATGCCCATTGCATCAATATACAAACACCACTCTCCTCTGGAAACGGCCACCTCCTAGAACACTTTCACTAAGGCAAACATTGCTTTGGCTAAGCGCATCGAAATTGCTGAAAGAGATAACAGCTGCTTTGAAGTTTGCTTAACAGGTTTGGGGACTAGAGAAATCCATGTTAAAAGTCTTCTAACCTACTTCACATCCCAACAGGAAGAGGGATATGGGAATTCTTTTTGGAGACAAATTCAGGAGTAATCTGTCAAAGCTGCATAGCATGGGGTGCGGCCCAAGCCAGAATTAGCCGCCTTGCCCCTTCTCTTCCCAGTAGGATGCCAGGGGAGAGACAGACTGCTTTGGACAGGGATATGATCACATTGCTCTCATTTTGGAAATCTGGCCAAGATCTGAGATCTTTCAACCTGAAGATGTTGAACTAGAGCAGTTTTGTGTGCTGTTTACAAGACACTGCCAAGTTCAATTGCCTTGCTAATAACACTGTTGTGCTCTGTTGACCCCTCCCACAACTAATTAAGGCTGCAGTCCAATTCCCACAGATGCGAAAGGAAGCCTTATTAATGCAATGGCACTTACATGTATAGGACTGTGTTCTAAGTGACCACTAACTGTGACAGGTGCTGAGAAGTGGAAACGAGTCCTATGAGGAAAGGTTGGAGGAACAGGGTATGGTTAGACTAGAGAAGAGGCAACAAGACAGTTCTCTTCAAATCCTAGAAGGGCCGCTGCACAGAAGAAGCCGAAGTCTTCTTTTCTGCTACCCCAAAGGCCAGGCTTTAGATCTAGCAAGCTTGACTTATAACAGGGTCCACAAATTCCAGACATCAGGGGCTGCCTCTACACCAAAAAAATTCAGTGGCCACAAGTGGGGGCCACAAAAATAAAAATACCTGGGAGGTTTGCATGGATGGAGTGGTGTTAGAGTGCTGGGCTGAGGATCTGGGAGACCCTAGTCCCAAATCATGGTTCTCAGCCATGACCTTCACTGGGTGACTTTGGGCCAGTCACTCACTCTCAGCTTAGCCCACCTCACAGGGTTGTTGCTGCAGGATATAAATGCAGTGTAAGGTGGCCAGCTAGGCCATGCATTGCACACCCCGAGTTATTCCAGTTGAACACCGGGAGAAATGCTTTGCAATGTGATGCTCTTGTTGCCACATGGGGACTCCATGAAAGGAAATAATGGTAAAGGCTCTGAAAGAGGGGGGAATGCTGTCAGTCACAAGAAGAAAGCACAAAAAGAGCCCAATCCCCCCTCATATGAAAATGTCTAGTGAATGTTGCAAAGATGATAAAACAGAGATAAGGAATCTTCGTGGCAAATGACTACCTAAATGACAACCGAGGGCTCCAACTGAGGCAGCTTGCAAGGTGTAAGTCACAGGGCAGCTCTTAACTCCCGTGCCCAAATACACTCTCTTGTGATGCTTAATGCACAGGCTCAGCTTGTGTTTGATACACCCATTGAAAATCCAGTTCCGAAGTTGTTCCATGCACATGCAAGTTTGTTTTGCTGCAGAAGGACTTTACTATTCTCATTCTTTTGGCTAATCATTAATTTTTCCTTGGATTTGACAAACAGAAGATGCCTTGGGATGTAGAGCTTTTTTCTACTTTTCTTGCACCCACATTTTCATTTCCCAGCTAATTTCATGTTTTTCTTCCAAATATAAAATATGTAGAACACAGTTTATTACACATTTTGTTTTGTTTATAACTTCCCCGCTCCAATGTGCTGCTTTTAAGAACAGCTTTGATGTAAAACCACAGAGCCTGGGATTTCAAAATGAGACACTCTGTCTCCAGCAAGACAAGCAAAGGCATGATTAATTCTATTGTCATCTCTTACACACACACACACACACACACACACACAGAGAGAGAGAGAGAGAGAGAGAGAGAGAGAGAGAGAGAGAGAATGAGGGTGGGGGGAAGAATCGGTGATGCTATTGGAGTTTTGTGCAAAATTTTTTATATGCAGAATGATGTCTCAGAGCAGAACAGTTACTTTTTCCCCAAAGACATATGTTCAGAATTGTGTTCCAAGCTACTTGTGGCTGCATATGCATGGCTGATGCTGAAAACAACACACATAATTCCAGCCATGTCAGGCTCACATCATGCCACATTTCTCCACCTCCCTCACTACCAACAGCCATGGGCTGCATTTAGACAACATGTTAACCCATACTAAAAGGGCCAGTGCTGGCTGTTGCTTAGCCATGAGTTTTGCTGAAATGTGGTAATCGTGTTGTCTGAATCTAGCTGCACTAACAAGCTATGGTTTGTTAACTACAAACAACCTATGAAGAGAACCCATGGTTTGTTGTTGGGTTCTGAACCATAGGTTGCTCTCCATGGTCTGTTCTCTCAGCTGGGTTCAGACAACATGATAACCCGGGTTTCAGGAACAACCCATAGTTCAGCCTATAGACAATGCCTGAGTGTAGGTTATAGTGTTGTCTGAACCCACTCAATGATATGGAGTAGGAGTGGAGAAAGGTATGATGTTGCACTGTCATAACACTGGAGTCTTTTCCACACATTTTTCACATGTGTGTAATCAATATGCATATGTGGGGAGGAGATATGGATTTCAATGGTGCCAAAATCAAGAGCAAAACATCATGCATCAGGGATTACCCTTTGGATAGCTGGATTTGGATTCAAAAATGCCCCTAGGGTTCTATATGACTTTAGAAAACAAATACCTCAAATATGCGCAGGACCTTAGCCAATGCTCCAACTTCTTCTTTGAGAGAAAAAATCAAGGAGATCACATCATTTTGGATAGTGCTTTCTTCAATGTATCTGGATTCCTATATAATAAATATACAATTAATTGTGTGTCTGTCATCTATACCTAGAAATCAAGAACATTAATAGCAAGAGTTCAAATAATATCAGTGAAGGAAACAGGTATGTCAAACAACATTCCAATGGAACACTGTGTGTTGAATCAGAGACAAAGAAAGATTCTTATAAATGGTCAAGATTGCTTCCAGCAAGTCTCAGTTATATGCTGGCATTTGTGCAATTCAGCCATTTCATAGACCATGTTGGTGAAGCTTGTGAGGACTTACCAAATGTCAGGCTAAACTTTTGCCAGAACTTCCATCCAGTACATGTTTGTTTACAAGAAAAATGGGACAAATACAGACCATCTGGTCCAAGCTAGACATCCCAAAAAGTCTCTTGCATGGTCCAGAGTTCTTAGAGTGAGAATTGGGAAATCCTCATTCCCTTGGCATAAAATTAATAAAAGCCATTCACTACACATGAACTTATGGATGAAAAAATGGCAAAGACATCAAGAACTCCTGAAGACTAGTGGGAAGTTGCACAATTTTATGAAGAGTAGATGCTGAACGTGTTTGCTTGGAAATCTCTCCAAGCTGCATGTGGAGTATTTTCTGTACATCACTTCATCCCACCCCGTCCCACCCCTGCTTTGCCACCCTGGGTAGTCAGAACTTCATGCTCGGCTGCCACTGTGGCAGTCTAAGGTCTTTTCACTTCAGCACATCAGTTTAGGCTGCACTTTAAAACAGGCTGTAGTGAAACAAAAGAGGAGCTGAAACAAGCATGAACACTCACCTGGTTTGCATAACACAACATGCCACTTAGCCATGGTGGGTTGCCATTGTGTGCAAACCAGGTGTATTTGCTGCAGAATGGCCTGTTTCTCAAGACCATGTCACCCTGAGAACGCATGGCTTGCTTCAGGGTTGTTGATACCCAAGGTTATTCAACTAACAACAGGGTCATTGTGTAATGTCCAAAACTGGCAAGGTGACTCCATGAAGGATTACTACTAAAGGCTAGTGAGCTACCCAGCAAAAGCAGCAAAAATCTTTGCTGCTCCTCACAATCTCACTCGTGCCACATCCGTTCTCTCTCATGTTGGAAGGCTCTGTGTCCTCTGCTTCTTGGTCCTAAAGATCAAAGACACCAGAAAGTCGTTCCTATGTATTGCCTTGAACATTGCATAATATTTCCTCTGTTTTACTGCTTTGCCATGACATCTGTGCATGTTCAGCAATACTGCTCGCCGCTCTGGAGGCCACATGCATACGTAAGAATTAATAGTGGAAATAATTGTGCAACTTCCCTAATAGTGTAGGGAAGCAACAAACATGAAAGGTGTGAGCCAAAAACATGGCTGCAGGAGAGAAGAAGGTTTAGGAGCTGGTGTTCTTACTTGGGTGTAACAGGAAACAACCTTTTAAAAAGTTCATTAGAAGGGAGCACCGAAATGGACGATGAAATTGACAAGGACATCAACAAGATCTGGGTATCATTATGCTTGATTAAATAGCAGACATGCAATCTTCCACTCTTACGCAAGAGCACAAGCCCTGGGGTGTGGAGAAAAGGAAATGACTGTCTATTGTAGTTCTAAGGGCTCAGAAAATGAATTCCATTTGGCCATCTTATGGGGTGGTAGAGAGAAGTTTCCTTTAAGAAGACACAAGTCCAGTGGTGCTGAAGAAGGAGTGAAGAAATGAAGAGTTCTGCCACGAAGGTGCCAAGTATACATACCAGAAGCAGCGGCTGAACTGGGCAGGGGCAATGGCAAGTCATGTCCAATTGTTCGCCTTAGCACACAACCAACCAACCCATGCCAGCTTATTCTCAGGTTGGCATAATATGACGTGCAAACCCACCCACTGTTTGAAGAGCAGAGGACAGAAACTATGAAGGTCAAGTCAACATTGCAGATTTATATTCTGGGCTTTGCAAATTTGGACAGGCTTGGGCAGCCAGCCAAACTATATGCAGACAACTGGCTGATCTTACTTCTCCCAGTGAGGTGAAGGAGGGAAGTTTTCCCAGTGGTGTGCTGAGCTCAAGGGGAAGTGGGAGCCACTGGGGAAGACAACATGTGAGGCAACTGAAGGGATAAGCCTTCACTTTCACCCTGAGTTCCACTCATAGGAGGAGGGTGGGAGCTCACTATTGAACTTCAGGAGCTTCAGCACTTTTAAGTACATCCAACTGGCTTTAGGGGAAAAAATCCGTGTCTGTTTTTCACTCTGTCCTGGTGGCAAGCACATGCTGGATTAAAAGACGCTGTCATCACTAGGGACAGGATGAGTACATTTGTCGACCCTAGCTTATACTGGTTGCAAGCCATGCAAAATCTGACATACAGATAGGAAAATAAATGCAAGTTTAGTGAAATGTTTTTCCCAGTTTCTCTGGCCACAAACAGGATAGAAATCTTTGGAAGTCTTTTTGCACATCCTAGAATGGGTAACCTCTGTTGCTTTCTACAGTCACCTGAGCATGCTTTAGTCCTATGCTTTAGTCCCATGATAAAGACCTCAAAGGTGTTCTTCATCAGCACCGTAGAAATGGGTGTAAAGTATGGATTAAGAATGCAGTAGGAAATACTGGTATTGCATCTGTGTTTCCCCACATGCAATATGTGGATTGTTTCACACAAGTAAACACACATCTGTAAGCACCAGTAAATAAGCATTTTCTGATTTTTTCTGATTCTCTGCCTTTATCTAAATATGCACACACATGAAAGATATCCACACATTACATATTTTTCACTGGAGGCACCAGTATAATACCTACATTCATTGCACCTGTCCTCATGTGTATGTCTCCTCTACCAATTCAAATCATTTATACAAAGATCTGTCATTACGAATTACACATAAAAATGCTATGCTTATTCATTACGCTCTCCTTTCTCCAGAGTGATCATATTCAAATTATTAGGCATGTAATAGACAGTCGACTTTTCAATCAGCTTTGCTTTTACAGCAACTTAACATGCAGGAATTAGCAGGTAAATCTTTTCACAGGATGGAGAGAAAAAGGTGATAGCATGCAAATTGCTACAATCAAGCCACTGTTAAAAGCACAGGTACAGAAGCTGTTTGGAAAGTTGGCAATTCTAAAACTGGCAACAGTAGCAAAATGCTTTATTGGGCTACCTCATTAAAAATATTGTCTATGCTGCCCAGCAGCAAAGTTTTCTTAAAATGAAGAACTCACCTGGAGAGTGTCTCCATTCATGTTGGTAACCGGTGTCTCCATTTTCACCCCACGCAGTAATAATCAGGACTGTTCTTACACGTTGGAGAGACGGGTGACCTTTCAGTGTTTGCAGGACCTTTTGTGTACCATGTACACAGATATTTAAAGTTTAGTTAACTGAAGGGACAGCCCCTTCCTTTGATCTCTCCCCTTCTTGGCAAACTTCGGGTAGAGGTGGGGCTTCCTGACACACCCCTCTTACCACCCCCACTAGAAGCAGTAATTGCTCGTCCATGTGCAAGGAAAGCCACAACATTGGAGCACCTTTTAGCTTCAGCGTATGGTTTCTGTTTGGAGGGACTGCAGGAATTAATGTTCTGGCCTTGTGGTTTGGATTCTGCTGTATTTTAATTTCAGTTCTTTGCATTTCTTTATGTTTTCTGATCCATGGGAACAAAAAATAACAGAATGCCACCTTCCAGTTTGTAGTATTTCCATCTATATTGATATCATCAAACCAATCTATTATTTCTAAGTATATCTTTAATCCTAGAAACATAACTTCTTATTCAGAAAAAACACTGAATTTTTTTTATCATCATCATCATCACCACTACTGCTACTTCTGCAGCTGTGGATGAAGTTTGCCTGTGTATTTTGTGAAGAGCAATTTGCTTGTCAAAATAGGTGCCAGCTGGCTGAGAGCGAGAGAGTGAAGAGCAATCACAGTTTATGGTTGAATCAGAGTGGTGGGTTTTCATGTCAAAAAACCCCCAACCAAACACCAAAGCTCACCATCTGATACCAAAATGGAGCAGGAACACATTTTGAGATGGAATTCAGAGAACTTCAGTGATGCCAAGCTTTGCTGAATCCTCCATCACACCTGAAGGCATCAGGGGAGTGAGGAGGATGGAGAAGTAAGACAGACCACTTGGTACACGGCTCTCTCCTCCAGAAGTTTGCTTTCACCTGCCAGCTGCCTCACTCTGAGTAATGATAGGGGTGGCCCAGGATTTGCTTTGGGTGCATGGATTCAGATGTCCAGGACATCTCCATCCACCTCCCTGTTGCACACGGTTGCACCTACATAGAAGGAGGATGGCCTGACCCTGTCACCAGCCACAAAACAGGGGAATCCTGGAAGTCACACCCAGCAAGAACACAAAGGAGAATGAAATCAGCCTCCCTCCTCCATTGGCCAGAGAACGGCACAGCTGGGATCATGCTTCCCCATCTTTTCTGGAGCCTCGACCTTGCAGATGCCAGGAAGACAATCTTTTCAGGGCCAGCATGCACAGCAATGGTAAGCTATGTCTGGAGGGTTGCATCAAGCATAGCAACACAGGTAGAGTATCCCCACCGAAATCAATGGGGCTTAGGTTAGCCCTGTGGACTAACTGAAGTCCCATTGATTTCAACCTGTTTCCTCTAATCTGCCTCCACCCAGCCTGGTGCTCTCTGGATATTCTGGACTTCAATTCGCATCAGCTTTAGCCCACATGGTCAATGGCCCTGAATGATGGGAGCTGTAGTCCAAAATATATCTGGAAGGTACCAGACTGAGGAAGCCTGCCAGGATGCTAGTTGTGTGGGATATATTCCTGGCTTTTTTAAATGAAAATTTCATTTCTTTACAATTCCTCCACCACCTCTTTTAAATGCTACTTTTAAATGCTACTTGAGCTTCTCAGACCCTTTGGGATGAAGCAAAGCATGGGCTGGACAAACCAGGCTTGCCTTAACTACATACCATCTCACATTCATGGCATGGCATGAGTTGCTGGATCCTCTCACTCACCTGACAGAACAGGCACGTGGCCTCAGCTCTGTGAACTGCATGGATTGAGAAACTCGGCAGGACTGACATCCATTGACATTGCCAAGAGTGTAAATAAAATGTCCACTTGTTAACATATCAGCCGTGAACCACCCTGCTTTTTTTCTTCTCTCTTTTTGCTCCAAAAGCTTCATTCTTTTAAGTTTGTGTTCCTCATAAGCGCAAACATCAAACCTTATTTAGAACATTGGGATTCAAAGCACTGTTTTTAGACAAAAGCCATGCATTTTGGCCATGAAAAATGTTCCAAAATTCAGATTGGGAAAATATCCAATTTTCCAAATTTCAAATCCCAAAAAAAATTTGGAGGGGGCAGGCCAGGAGTTGCAAAATAACATGCAGTCTTTTAGGTTCTCTGTAATGCTTCATCAGAATAAGTGGTGCAGGGGGGGAGGAAAAGAAGCCACTGAGTCAGCATGAGCCAGGAGCCTGCAGACATCCAGCTTAGGATCTGTAAGATGCTGCAATGGCTTCTGGTGCACCCAACAACAGCTGATCACCCACTCTAGAAAAACATACGACATCCAGCTGTTACCCAGACCCATCTCCATCCTTAGGTGGAACATTTAAGTGCCTTAGTCAGTGGAAAACAAAGGAAAACGGACAAAACTGAGTAGTTTTTATATTGGCATGGCACGCAGGTCAATTTACATGCCAAAGGCCTACCTGAATAATAGCATCTTTTCCTGCTAGTGGAAGGACAACAGAGAGGGAAATAGCCTAGCCTCTCTGAGGAGTTCCAAATCCTGGAAGATGCTGCAGACTTACTGGTAATAGCATATTAAGGAGCAAATGGCAGGAGGTGAGTGATAGGAAGGGGCTTGGGGAGGAACTGTGCAAGTTTCAACCTTGGCAAACCGGCAAAGTTTGGTGGCCAGTTTGTAGGAGATGGGGTATGAGGCGAGACTGAGGGAACTGGGTCTCTTCAGCCTGGAGAAGAGGAGACTCAGAGGGGATCTGTTGGTGACATACAGGTATGTGAGGGGATGTCACACGGAGATGGGTAGAGACCTGTTCTCCCTTGCAGAGGAGGGCAGGGTGCGCTCCATCGGAGCAAAGCTCGGGGAGCCAAGGTTCCGTTTGGATGCCAGGAAGCACTTCCTGATGATTAGGAGCCCAAGGGTATGGAATGGGCTTCCACGAGAGGTCGTTGAGGCCCCATCGGTGCGGGTGTTCAAGGATAGGCTGGACGTCCACATGGTGGGCATGTCTTGAGCGGAGCCAGCTGGTGCTGGACATCAGACTAGATGGCCTGGGAGGCCCCTTCTGACTTGCTCTGTTTCTATGTTTCTCATATGCAGCATGTTCTAGATTGGGCTCCCACTTCTTTGGAATCAGGGCCCTGCTGCTGCTTTTTCTTCCTAATAGAAAAGGCCATGTTTCAGCAGGTTTTACTTTATTTTTAAGTATGTTTATTGAGACATCTAGTTTGACCCTACAGCAATAGCCATGGGACTTTACTGATAAAAGAGCAATTCCTAATTCTAAGCTGCAACACAGGACCTCTAGAAAAATATTTGCATCCAGCTAGTGCATCGTATTGTCCACCAGCTGCCCACCACAGGGCTGGTGTTAAGGCTCAGCAGAGTTGGGCAGCTGCCAAAGGCCTCCAGCCCAGCAGAAGCCACCAACAAGAGCTTCATGCGCTTGCTCCTTCTCTTCCCCACTACAACTTTCATGCTCACCTGCCTCTCACTCTGGCCCAGATAACAGAAAAGCAGCCATGCTGGATTAGACCACTGGTCCACCCAGTCCAGCATGCTCTGCTCATATGGTGGCAAAACAGCTGACCACAGGGACCCTCAGGTAGGAGGGGTACAAGACTGCCCAAGCTCCTCAGCAACGGGTGCATGCAGGCATGCCAGCTCTAGCAATGGAGCTAACATGGAGCCTGCAAGGCTCACACACACTGATAGCCTTCTCCCTCATGCATTTCCTAATCCCCTGTCAAAGCCGTCCAAATTGGTGGCCATCACCACTTCCCATGGCAGTCAATTCCATAGCTTAACTATGCACTGTGTGAAGAGGTCCTTCCCTTCAACCTGTCCTCACTCCAGCAGCAGTCACTGGGATAACCCTGTTGGGTTCAGAATTTGCTCTGGCTGGTTTAGGCTCCAGCTGACTTCCCTGCCCAGGACTAAAGCTTATACCTGAGCTTCCACAGCCCTACCCTGGCTCAGCTGCAGCCCATCAGAGGCTTCTAGTAGAGGCCTTCCTAGTGAGTAGAGCAAAGGACTCCAAGTCACACGGAGTCCTTTGCTCATTGCTTTAAGCCGAGCACTTCTTCTCGCAGGGTCATTACTGGGGCACCGATACTCTCAGGGGCTAGAGGGCTGCTCAGCTGCAGTCTCAGAGGCATAGCTGAAGGCATTTTGACAAGGGTTGGGGTTAGGATCTCCTCAACTCAGCCTATTCTTGGATGGTGTGTGCCCCCTGAGAGCTCTAGTCCCTCCTCTAGGAGGCCATGATAGAGAAGGGCCTCTGTGAGCATGTTTGACAGGAACCCTCAGAAAAGGCTGAGCATTTTTTGAGTGAAGTGGGGGAGCCCTCTGACCAGAGAATCCTCATGACTCAGGTGTGCTTAGATCAGGGGCGGATTGGGGAAGGAGTTTCAAATTCTCTCCTACAGCACTACTGTTCCAAACTGATCTTCACATCTTAAATGAAAACCCAAACACTGGAGGGTCTGATTACAAATCTCCCAGAAGCAGTGGGATCTTCAGAGAGCTTAAATCTGGGAATGGAAGGCAGTTTGCTCCCCTTTGTAATATGACCACTTGCCAGTAGATGGCACTATGTCCACATGAAATTACGGACTTCCAGCCTCTGGGCTCTCTTAAGCCTTACTATCACAGAGGCCATTTCCTCTAGGAATTCCCATCTCCTCTGCACCTGGATTGGCACCTGCTCACTCTAGTTAATCGAGTCAGTAAGGAACACAATTGGTTCCTATTCATCTGCTGCCATCTTCCAGGTATTTTGGTCAACATCCAAACAATTCTGGATTTTATACAATTACCATAAAGAATGATGAGCCAAAAATGAGCAGCCAAACTCATTTGCTTCTGCAAAACACATACATCCCCTTTTGAAATCAGTTGCCCTCCTTCACAAATGAACAAAAAAGGATGCACTTTGGGGAGAGAGAGCACACATATCAAAATGTGTCTGGCATTCATTCTGCACTGTGGTACATTCAATAAGATGCATCCTCATGGACATTCTGCCATGGCTAGTTATACATAGGTGGGAACATGGGAAGTGCCTATACAGTGAATTTTTCT